TTTAAGTGATCCCTAAAGTCCTTTTAAATGTAAGTGCATGAACCACTAGCGGATCCAGGATTTAATTTTGGTGGAGGCTTCAGCCCGAAACCTTTTTTTTTCATAAGAATAACGATAATTTAAATATTCCTTTTTAAATATATTAAAATTAAATAATTCTATTATATTAATTAAATATTAATTTTAAATATTCCTTTTGGGTGGGAATAGGCGAATAGCCTTCCTCTTTAACGGGGAACTAGGTTATTTACACTCCTGATTATTTAAAACAAAACCTGGATATAGACTTTTTGAGGGTGTTTAACTGTTGTTGGAATTCGGGAACCTAATACTTTTGTGACACTGAGTGAGAAGAAACAATAAGAATACATATCTGAAATGTGGGACTTAGTAAACACTTTAAATGAATTGACTCACCTGGTTTGTTATTCTTCAATTGTGAGGTATATAGGACAACTAAATGAAAGGACTATTCACTCCTGTCTAACAAAACAATTTATTTTTACAACTGATAATAAATGAATCTATTGAAGTAATATAACTTTAGCCTTGATATTCTTAGTCTTCAATGTAGTAGGCCTCTCTTCCCAGATGACTTCCTCTCGCCTCCGTGTCCTTGCCTCAAGTGCCCCTTCTCTGCCTGGCGTCTTCCTCCAACTGCTGCAAGGACACGGAGGCGAGAGGAAGTCATCTGGGAAGAGAGGCCTACTACATTGAAGACTAAGAATATCAAGGCTAAAGTTATATTACTTCAATAGATTCATTTATTATCAGTTGTAAAAATAAATTGTTTTGTTAGACAGGAGTGAATAGTCCTTTCATTTAGTTGTCCTATATACCTCACAATTGAAGAATAACAAACCAGGTGAGTCAATTCATTTAAAGTGTTTACTAAGTCCCACATTTCAGATATGTATTCTTATTGTTTCTTCTCACTCAGTGTCACAAAAGTATTAGGTTCCCGAATTCCAACAACAGTTAAACACCCTCAAAAAGTCTATATCCAGGTTTTGTTTTAAATAATCAGGAGTGTAAATAACCTAGTTCCCCGTTAAAGAGGAAGGCTATTCGCCTATTCCCACCCAAAAGGAATATTTAAAATTAACTTTATTTGGTTATTTACATAATATTCCAGTAAAACTAATAAAATCCAGCCTTCCTGTCCTTTAACATATCTAAAACTTTTCATTGCAAAACTCCATATTCACATCCTCCTGGAAAACTGCTTTAGGTTCGAGCTTTGAATAAAATGTCCAATCCTACCTCACTGCATGAATCTCTCCTATTCAACCCTTCAAAGCCGTTGGAACGCCTTGTCCAAAATCAACTCTCTAATGTCTTAGAGGTACGTTCCCTCATCATCCCATTCCAATCTGGCTTTCGACCTGGCTACTCAAAGCAATCCGCTCTCCTTAAAATAATCCATGACCTCCAAAACTCCATTGAACACCAAAACCTTACTATCTTCATCCTTCTAAATTTTTCCAAAGTGTTTGGAACATTTGACCATAAGATCCTCCTTACTAAGTTGCACAATCTTTCTCTATCCAACACTGCCCTACGTTGGTTCAAATCCTTCCTCTCAAATCGGTCCCAGTGTGTCAGCCTAGTTCTCCCCTCCCCCTCTCCTGGGATGTCCCTCAATGTTCCTCTCTATCTCCTACTCTGCTATTTACATTAATGACTTTCCCCTCCTGATCCATCACTCCCAATACCATATCTATGCAGATGATTTCTAAATATACCTGTCCTTTCCGCCCTCCGACTTATTATCAGCCATAGAAAAACTTCAAGAAGACTTGGATAGGATTTGTGACTGGGCAGGAACAAACAAGTTGAAGTTGAATGTGGAAAAAATGAAGGCAATCTTAACAGGCTCCAATCACCTCCTTAAAACTGTTCCTACATGATAATCCCATCAAATTTTATCACTCCATCAAAAACCTAGGAGTAACCTTTAATCAAATGGTTTCCTGGAAAAACCATATATCCAATATCTCCCGCCGTACCATTTCCACTTTAAAACGTCTAAATTACACCCGTCGCCTATTTCCTCTTGAAACTGGCAGGGTCCTAGTCAGTTCCTTAATTTTTCCCCACTTTAACCATTGCTGTACGGTATATGGGGGCGTCTCTGGGGATCTCGAGGCGAAACTAAAACGTTTGATAAATTGCTTTGCACGGTTCATCATCGGGATCCCAGGGGACGCCTCTGTTTCCCGTTTTTATGCTCAGTTGAAGTGGTTTTATCCTTCCTACCATTGTATTTCCTAGCATCCTTCCTCTTTCAAGTCATCTGATCCCGCCATCCTTTATACATCTTCGAGCTCCTTCGATTCGAGTTCCCGGTCTTCTGATTTATACATAAGGGCCCACTGAACTGCTGCTTTTGACAGATCATTCATTATCCGATTCTCATCCTTTCACAAATCGGTCACTCCAATACCCTTCCTATCTTTAAATCCCACCTGTTCAATCATTTCTTATCCATCCAGTCTCCATAAAATGGTAAATAGATACTACTATAAATATGTATATAAATTATTAGATCGTTCTTCATTATTTTTACTTCATGTTTATTTTTTCAATTTTTTATTTTTTATTATTAACTGATTAAAATTAAAAAGTAACTTATAATTATTTTATTATGACTATTTAATTACTCTGTATTTTTGTTTATGTATCTCTGAAGCTCAGCCCACATTTCTGTCTTTCTGTATTATTCTAAAGAAACTTGTCCCAGAATAAATAAAGTATTATTATTAAAAAAATAGTGTTTATCTGATCTATCTTGGTTGCCGCTTTCTGATCAATCACGAGCGATGAGTGATCAATTGAATGGTCACTTCCAAAGGATCCAAATGAAAGATGACCCTTGCTGCTCTGTACAGGAAGGAAAACCTCCATCTTCAAGGTCAGGTACTCAAATCCTTTTTGAAAGAGTGGTCTGTATGAAATTAAATATGAACTATGAATGTTAAAGTAGTAATTTAAACTATATTTTATCTATTACACGAGCGGAAAGGGGAAAACAAAAATAATTTTTTTAATTGTTAGTAGAAAGTTTTGTGGTGTAGCTAAAATTTTCTGTTGAATGCAATGATGGTGATTTTTTTTAGATTGGAGAAAAAAATAACTAAACGTTTAACTTGCTCGGGCTCCGTGGTTTTAACATTTGGTAACAAAGGTAAATTTCCAAATTTATATGAAATAAATGAATTAAAGCTGAATGCAGATCAAACTAAGGCAATTCTCATTGGGTCCAGACATCTCATTAGATCCCTTCCTTACTTTCCTCTACTTTACCTAAATAACCGTCCCATCCATTTTTCCCTACAGTCAAAAACAAAGGAGTAATCTTTGACCAGAACCTCTCCTGGAATAACCAGACTACCCGAAAATCCATAACTGTCCTTAAAAAACCAGACAGCGCCTTGTAACCTCCCTTATATTCCCCCACTTAGACTACGGCTGTTTGATGTATGGAGGGCTATCCGCCAGGCTAGAAATGAGACTAAAGAAACTCATAACTGTTTCATAAGATACATCTTCGGGATCCCCAGGCATTCGCATTTTTCATTCTGGTACTGGTACTTTCCGACGACAATTCTTCCTGGATGTTATTCTTTTCCAAGTTCTCAGAACTAAAAACTCTCCATACATCCTGGAACTCCTTACTCTACGCTCTTCTATCCACTCTCTTAATACTAGGTCTCAACCTATAGATTTCTATATCCTCTCTCATAAAACTACTTCCGTGCTACCTCCTTGTGGAACTCTCTTCCTACCTCCATACGTCAAACCTCGTCTACAAATTTCTTCAAACGACTTCTGTTCCACCATCTACTCCACATTAAAACTTCCGCTAACATGTAAAATTACTTGTATCTGTATACTGTAATTTCAACTACTGCACATTTGCAATAACAATAAGCAGTTAATTATATATTATTTTTTATCATTTTAAGCCAGACTAATACCCATAAATTTGTAACACTGTTATTATTCTTAGGGTACTGTAGTCCCAGAATAAAATTATTTTTTCATTCATTCATTCCTGCACCTCTTGCCTAGTAACGTTCTCCTCTTCTCTTCTTCCATAGTAGAAGTAATCATACCATAAAGGAAACTTAATGAATTAGGCCAACTTGGCTCTAGACTCTGGCCTTATCTCTCAGTTTCACTTTTTCTCCGGCAGAGTTCACACAGTGCAATCGAGCATTCAAGGCCACAAGACTGCTCATACATTTTGAGAACCCCATACATCCTCAGTCATGACATTTCATCTACACGACTAATTATTTAGTAGAAATTGCTAAACTTTACTGGGCTGCAAGAAGTCTTATGCGGAAGAGTCACGATCATTCAGCTTATTAAGGAAGAAAACTTAATATTTTTTTAAAATTTACTCATGAGTTCCTTGAGTCTGTTTTCATTTAATTTTTCATTAAAAACTGAATTATACAAATCGTTAATTTCATTAACAATGCTGTTTAAAAACATTAAAGAACATAACAAGAATACACACAAAACAGAATAAAAAGTTTTCAAAACAGTCCTCTCTCAAGTTTTGCCATTGTTTTTAAATTATTGTGGTAGACTGACATCTCCATTATGCCTTATGACTCGGTATCCATCAACTGACAACAAAAGTAAATGATTCATAAAAAGAAGGTTAGTAAAATAAAATAGGGAGACCGAGCGTGCTATCGTGTGTGCACAGCATAGCGAGTTGTCCGGCAATCTGACAACCAAAATTATAGAAGATAAAATAATTCCGAGTTTGCGTCCTGGTGCCGGGGAAGCTTAAAACCCTGTATAGCTTAAAAGGGGAAAACAAAAAAAATAGAAACAAAAAAATTGAGCAATCAAGATTTGATATACTGAGACACTTAATTCTGTTATTTTGTCATAAATAAGACGAATACACCAAATAAAAATCTATCATCATTTGATTAATAAATAATTTTTGAGAATGGATTCAAAAAGTGAAGAATAAATTAACACAGATTTAAAAAACATTTATAAAAATATATTGAAAAAATAAATAAACAACATAATAAATTAAAAAGAAACAAATAAAAAAACTATGTCCATGCATAGTTTGTAAAACTAATTTTGATCTATTTGAATCAATTCAGATTAAATCAAATATTATAAAATTTTTTAACTTTCGCACATTCACCAAAGCAGTTTTTCCCACAAGGCACATGATTACAATTTAAATAAAAATTATTACAAAGACTAAATAAAAAATATAATTATAACAGTATATATTAAAATTATAAATCATATTTTAAAAAAATGCATTTTATTTACAAAATAGCTATAAAGAAATTATCATAATTCTAACATTAATAGACATAAAAAAGTTATATATTGTGGCAAGAATAAAATAAATATACTGTACATAAGGACAAAATACATATATTTACACTGACTACTATTAGCTACAATCATTTTAATTATATATTTATTAAATATCACCTTTAGCTATAAAATACAGTAAGATACCACATTGCTATGGTCAATAAATGAAGGCTTTCATAGCTATTATATACAGCACGTACGACTTTTTTTTTTCAAACTCGACAAAAAATTAAACAGGAAATGGTTAGCAAAAACAAATACTAGGAATAAAGACATAGTGTTTCAACTGCCTTCCGCAGTGCTACATACTACGCCCTGAAGACGACCTGCAAAGTGGGTCGAAACGTCGACAACTAATTAAATAATTACTATATTTTAATTTAGTATTTATTTGACCGCACCCCCAACTAACTCCTTCTCATATTATATCAACGGTCAACCATTTCTCCATCATTATCTGTAACTATTTATTAGTCGAGATAACATACTATTTTTTATACCATGTTATATTTTGTTCTTACTAATTTTTTCTTTCTCTTTCATATTATCATAATGTTTTTATAAAGTCTGAAACCTAGGCCGAAATTTAAGCACGAAGACAACTTAAAAAAATCATTACTAAGCATCAGTGAAATATGTGAGATAAATAGGTTACTTGTCCATTAGTCTGGCAGGATGAAACCTCCCTTGTTATCTAGTTTTGTCACATAACCTCCCTCTTCTTATCTCCCCAAACCTTTCAGTTATTAAATTCTTTATTTTTAGCCCGTTTGTGTTATTTACATCAAATTATGGATCTTGCTACATTCTGGGAATAACCGTCTTCAGAAGAACAGGCTATTGAATATTTTCAAAACGTTGGGATAATTGCAAACGTGAAATTGTGTGAACAAGGTAATCAAATGAAGTTAGACAGGGACGCGAAATGGAGATGCTGTTGGTTGTAGGCATTTGTAACATAAAAGTTTCAATAAGGAAAGGAACGTGGTCAAAAGGGTCAAGGATTTCATTTTTAATGGCTTTAAAATTTATATATATATATATAAATTTAATATATATATTGTAAAATAAAAATATTTTTTTATTATTACATTTGTTTTTGTTTACAATTTCATTAATACGAATATAATACAATAAATATGAATACCAAGATATGAATTACGAGAAGGCTTATCAGTGTTGAGGTTATAAATATTGGCAGATAGCAGTCCGTCCCGCCCGACTAACTGACAAGTTCCATAAATAGTTATAAATTTTACTACATACGTAATGTACAATATGATTGATTGTATGTTTTTTTCAAAAAAAGAAACTCTGAAACGTCAACCACATGAAAATTCTTTTAAACTTTACGATTTAATAAAAAAATCCGATTGGCTTACATGACCATACTATCCCAAGTGATCACTGATTATTGTGATCACCAAGGCACAGATTTTTAAGTGATTGAATATTTTGTTTGCATTCAGTTTTTAAACTACTGATCAAATATCTACACGAATCAATGTATCCACATTAAATATTATATTGTAAATTTGATAATAAATTAAAATGGAACAATAAAGATGAAATTCCATAAAACAATTGTAGTTTGATTTTAAATCAATAAATAACAACTAATGAGGTTACTTTCTTATAATGAAAGAAACTGTCTTTAGAAATTCATTCATAAATTTTGGTCAGATTGTGTCACTTACTAATTTCTAATCCAAGAGTTTTATTTATTAATTTTTTTCAAATTGTCAATTGATTTTTAATTAAAAACATTACTGGTATTCTTTTATTGCTAATTGCGAATTGCGTTATAAAGTTTGTACTACTTTGTTTTAACTATTTTTATATTAATTTGCATTTATTTAACTTGTTTTGTAAATATTATCAATTAATCATATAATTTTTTATATACAATTATGTATACACATTTTTGTTAGTTATTGATTGGAACTTTAAAAGACTTTAATATTTTAGTTTCTTTTTGACCATTAATAAATATATACTTTAATTTTCTATTTCTATTTATTATATTATGTTTTAATTATTTTGGTTTAAACAAAAAAACATTTTGTACGAATATTAGTGTATTTGAATATTTTAGGAGTTTTATTGTATATAAATCTGGGCCATATTCATCACAAAACATAAAAACTTAATTATTCACTAAAATAAGATTGATTTTTAATTTTCACTACTTTGAGAAATCAAAGTTTAAAAAAAAAGTCGATACTTGCCATACTGTAAAGAAAAACGGCAATATATTTGATTATTGTATTAACATAATATTTGAACTTGACATGAATGTAGCTTTTATAATAAATAGCAGAGCAATATATAATTTTAAATATATCACAATGTTGAGTATCACAAAACATTTATTATCAAGTGTGCTTTGGCATGTTAACGTTCTTTCATAATCCTCCATACAGATATTGCAATCTATTAATTTTTAAAAATATATTTATTAACTTATATTCTTCATATATGGAAGCTACATGAATTAGAAGACTAGATGCAGTTTCGTTAGTGAAAAAATAAGTAAAATAAAGATCATAGTTTCTTGGTTAATGTTAATTGATATAATACACTCAAGGACAAAAAAAAAAAAAAAAAAAAAAAAATACATATTAAAAATTAAAACAAAGTATTGTAGTAGGATCAAATCTTTGGTAGGCCATTTTCAACAGAACATTTTAGAACCATTTAAGAAAAAAAAAAAGGTGTATAATATAAGTTTGTACCGCAATTATTTCATGAACAGGTGGACCGGTTTCGTTCATTTTGTTTCTGTTTTGTAGGATATTTGCCCCTGACCATTATGTATCAAATTGAACACTATGCTTTCCGATAGCCAACAAATCTGTTTTAGACTGTAGTGTAAAATAAGTCAAATGTTTTTGATGAAACTCGCCTAAAATCTATTCCTTAAAAAGTTCCAAAACTTCGTAAAAATTAAAACTTTGTATCAGTACATTTTTTATTGGACCGATTTTTTTTTTTTTTTTTTAAATTATTTTCATTTAGTTTTACAGACAATCTAATTATTTTCAAACAAGTATCTGGAATGTTTTAAAAGACTTATTTTTTTTTTTCTACCAACTTAACTTTTTCTGGCATGTGGGAAAGAGAAGAATTATTCTAAATGTATAAGCTGTATATATATTATTTTTCTGTATAATTTATTTTATTTACTGTACATAGAGTGTGAATGTGATCTGTGAACACTATTATTAATGTCCCTGAGACAGATTGTAATATATTTAAAAAAAAAAAATGTATAAGCAATTTATTCTAACCAGAACGAGAAGGTCGAGATAGGTCTGTGAAATTGCTAATACCCATTATCTCCTCCCCTATCTCTCCCAAGAAATTTCATTGCTCTCCTGTTCTTAAATATGGTATTAGCAAAAGCTGAAATATAAAAATTGTAGTTTATTCACAATTGTACTTGCTGCAGCCTGTTTCATGTTTTCATAATTTTAAAATTCTCCCAAATTGAAATTTCATGAAGATATGGTTCTCACTAAAATTTATAACCTGTAAAAATGTGCCTACTCAAAAACTTTGATGGTAGAACTTGAACATCTCACAGAATATTCTATATACTCGTTTGAAAAAAAATTACATTATCTTCAAAGATAAATAAAGAAATAAGCTAAGGTAAAGTAATCAAAGTAATATAATTAAGCTTTAATAAGTCCAACTTTTCCGAGACATAGGGCAAACAAATTTAACAAAAATGTTTACTGAGATAATTTTAGGTACAATAAATGACCATTTTTTTTTTTCTGTCCTTGAGGTAATTAATAAATAAATTATTTCAATACGACATGTGTAAAATACTAAATGAGGCAACAGTCCACAGAGGTACCTAACCAATAAGCTTTGAACGATGATAACGAAACAGCCTAACTCACTTAATTTAAGCAACAATTATCTACTATCACACTGAATCAACAATATTCCACAATAACCACCATATACTATCAATACGAAACTACAATCGGCGGACGATACTTAAAATTATCAATAATTATAATATAAATATCAAAGCTAAACTTTTAACAAAATATACGTACACGATTCTTCTTCACAAACACCAAATATAAAAATTATACAATTAAAATTGTTCTGATTGTTATTTATCTATAAAATATATATGTACACACTCATCAGAACAAAAATAATTATAGACAAGAAAGCGGCTACAAATTATAATTTTTTTTAATAAGATCTCGAGTGAGAAATGGAATATTGCTAACTAAGTTAAATCACTATGTCAAGATTGCTGTAAAAATGAATAATAATAGTGTTGTAAAAACATATATATATAATTTCATTAAATAAATTTTATAATATTCAGCCAAATTTCTAACTTATCGATGGATATGATATATTTTTACTCGTTATTTAAATCACCAATAAGCCAAGGGTGTAACCTAATTATAAGTTCAATGATATTTCCTAGTTTTAAAATTAGTTAGGTATTTCCTAATATATATATATTTCATTGAATCTGATTTGTTTTTTTTTGATAAATGTTTATCCAAAATTAAAAATATTACTGTTAGCTTAATACATAAAACGATAAAAGAGTTTAATTCAGAATAAATTTAAAAAAGAGAAACTCTAAGTATAAGAATAATTTCAGGTGAGTAATATATTATGACTTCTAACATTCTATATAACAAAATTGTCAATTTTCAAATGCCAAGACTGTTAATTTATAAATTACACTAACAAAAGTTCATTGCTGAAAGAATTATTAAAGTAATTACAAAAACTAAAAACATAGTTTGCAACTTTCCAGATGAAAAACAGATCGCTACTAAACCCACCATAAACCACTTCGATCAATTAGTGGATCCTCTCAAAGGAATTAGCGCTGAATTAAGAAACTTGGCCATTTTCTAAATACTAACCGGTACTACTTACAGCTGGATTAAGGTTATACAAAATTATTTTAGATTTCAGTCAAGTTACAGTTATTCAATGATCTATATTTTTAAGGCACACGGTTGCAGGGATTGCTTTTTTTAAATTATTTATTTTTTTAATTTAATACAAAATTGAAGGAGTATAAAAAATAAGAGCATCGATATCCTCTAATAAATCGTATAAAATTCTTTTACTTTTTAAAAAAAACAGCCCATAATTATTTTTTTCAAAATAATATGTTTTTACAGAACAGCTTCTACAAGATATGTATATTCAAAACGTACATTAGGTATTCCGTATCAATATATTTTGAGCAATTATCTTACAAGCATAAAAGTGGTTGGACACACAAATAATGTATGTTTGATCAAATTGATTAGTTTAATTTTAACATTATATTAAATAATATAATTAAGTAGTTTTTTTTCGAAACAGATGAAACATTGAAAAGTGATTGATCAAATACAACTTTTAGGATTTTAGTTTTTGCTGAAAAATATCATATTTGTCTGAATATAGGTTGAGAATGTTTCTTATATTCTTTTAAGGTAAAAGACGGCTTGGACTTTTTTTCAGGTTCACTTTCTAGTTTGTTATCATTTCTACATTTTTGATGTGAAAAGAGAGACTTAATGAACTTTATATTAATAATAAGCAATAAATAATTCCTTAAAACTGTTCCTAATATTCCAACTCTGTTCCTACATGACAATCCCATTAAATTTTATCCCTCTATCAAAAACCTTTGATCAAACGCTTTCCTGGAAAAACCATATATCCAATATCTCCCACTGTACCATTTCCATCTTAAAACGTCTAAATTACTCCCATCACCTATTTCCCCTTGAAACGGATAGGGTCCTAGTCACTTCCTTAATTTTTCCCCACTTTGACTATTGCTGTACGGTATATGGGGGCGTCTTAGGGGATCTCGTGGTGAAGCTAAAACGTTTGATAAATTGCTTTGTACAATTCATCTTCAGGATCCCAAGGGACGCCTCTGTTTCCTGTTTTTATGCTCAGTTGAAATGGTTTTATCCTTCCTACCATTGTATTTCCTAGCATCCTTTTTCTTTCAAATCATCTGATTCCACCATCCTTTATACGTTTCCGAGCTCCTTCAATTCAAATCCTCTGTTCGCTTCCGCAATACTCGTTCCCGATCTTCTGATTTATACACAAGGGCCCACTGAACCGATGCTGTCGACAGATCATTCATTATCCGATCCTCATCCCTGTGGAACTCCATTCCTTCCTACATCCGTCAATCCAATACCCTCCCTACCTTTAAATCCCGCCTGTTCAATCATTTCTTATCCTTCCAGTTCCCATAAAATTTTAAATATATATTATTGTAAATATGTATATAAATTATTAAATAGTTCTTAATCATTTTTACTTCATGTTTTTAATTTTTTTATTTCTTATTATTAACTGATTAAAGTTAGAAAGTAACTTATAATTTTTTTCTATTATGCCTATTTAATTACTTTGTATTTTTATTTATGCATCTCTGAGGCCCCTTAGCCCACATTTCTGTCTTTCTGTAATATTTTAAACGGACTCGTCACAGAATAAATAAAGAATTATTATTATTATCATTCAGTTTGAAAACGGAAAATGAGAAAAATCTATTTAAAACGAGATCAGGGATGATAAATATATTTAAACTGAAACTTGAGATTGAAAATGGTTGTCGCATAAAATTAAAACAGGAAAATAATTGACATAAAACGGTGCATTTAAAATTAAGATTTGAGAATATTAAATGAATTGGTAATAAGTTTAAGCAAACCTAATTGTAACTTGGAAAGCATCCTAAAATAAATTAAACAGATGAGTTATTTAAATTTTTTTTTAAAACATAATTTTTTATATTATTATTATTAATATATTTATTTTTCCTATTATAGTTAAGAATTTTCTCGTATACATCAAAGGAATTTAACTTTTACTATTTTTCTCAACTTCTCATTTTTTTCTTATATCTTAACACACATTCATTCATCCGTAGGACAAAAATATTTCATTTAGCAAATAATCACCAACAGTCAAATGACGAAAATTAAGAAAATAAAATAATTGATTCTTGTTTGTCAGTTTGGCTTCAAGGCGTAAAACTTCAAGGTTATCAATGCCTGTAAGTTACTTTTGTTTATCTCTGACCTTAATTTTACTTCTAATTTTTACCAAATAGAGATAAGGAGATGTAAATGGCAGTGCAAACAAATTCCGGATGAAGGTGTGTTAAGATTTGTTTTACTATTGTTTACTTTTTGAAAATATTTTTGATAATCTATTTTTTTTTTAAATTTAATTTATTTATTGAAAGTGACATGGTTTGGCCAGAAATAATCTTTATAATAAATTTTTTAGAAAAAGATTAAAATAAAAAAACATCTGTCTAACAGAAATGGATATATTAATGACATAATAATATTAAAATTCTATTTTATTTATTTATGTAGTATTTAATTAAAACAACCTTGATTCTTTTTGAGTTATGTCAATCAAATTTGTAAATTAATTTCTAGTCAGAAGTTTAATTTTTCTCCCTAGAAAAATTATTTTCAAAATGTTGGTTGACTTATATTTAAGATCAACCTGTATTCAAGCAAATATAGTCTTCAAAATTATTACATTTTTCTGTATTCGAGTTTTACTCTATTTCTTTATAGAAAAACAAATTTTAATTAAAAAAAAAAAAACATCAGCAGTCTAACACTGTTTCTTAAAAATGTATTTAAAATTTTCAAAATAAGAACGTGTAAGGGCTAACAGATTCATTATTGTAAGAGGAACCAACAAAACATAATCAAATTTTAATTTCTGCCATCGAGGCATGATAAAATGGAAAGTGGAAACATTTCTTTTTTTTAGAAAAAGTAAAACTCATAAAAGGATATTTTAATGTTTAACTATGGCAGCAATGCATAACTAGATTAAAATTATTGTTCTAGTAATAGGTTTTTTTAAACCTATAAAATTAAAATAATAGTATTTATATGAGTATTTTAAGTTTGCACAAGGCACCAGCTATGATTTCAAATAACCTATATCATTCAAGAATATAGTATCTTTCATTATTTCTAAACTTGTTTAAAAAATAAATAAATAAAATAAAATAACTAATAAATAAGATGGAAAAACATTCCAAAGTGTCCATAACGAGGCAATCGCTACAGTGTCAACTGTGCAGTCAGTTGTGGTGCGAATCGATGTTACGACGCTGGTGATGGTGCCTGGCCGAGACGAGTAACGACGACGTGTCCAAGGTGTAAGTCCCTGGTTCGAAGACTGGAGGGTACTCGAGGCCGGGATAGTCCACAGATTGTTGGTGGTTTCCCGGATCTTCGTGAGTCTATAGAAGAAGCAGAAGTATAAGAAATATACTTAATGAAATGAAATAAAAAAATAAATTCATCGTACATAAATATTACATATGAAGAGTAAATAGAATGAATAGTGTATATACATTCTTCAAGTTTTTTTAGGAGAATGAAATCAATATTCACCTTTATCATTAATTTTAATTAAAAAAAAAAATCTGGTGTGTCCACTCACACGACTTTCCTACCTATTTCAGAAAAAAATTTATATCTTTACACATGTCCATCAAAAAACAAAAAAAGTTGAATTAGATTTATTTTCCTGAAAATTAATGAAAGAAAAGATTTGAGTACGATTTATTCAATAAACTAAAGCAATGTAAACCGGTTTAAGGTAGATCAGTGTAAAAATTTCAATAGCCTCTAATATTGCTGATCAAAAACTTTTCGCCATAGCCTAATTTTGTCAAACAATGATTTCTGTTAAAAGTAGAGGTAATAGTGAAGCTTGTGTGACGCAGGCAACAGATTTTCTTACTTTCACTAAGTTATCTTTTTTCTCTCATTTAACCCTTTCTGACATCAGGATATGAACCCGTAATCTTACATTGGAAATTGAATAGCTGGAACTTCGTTAATAATTGTCCGAAATGAATGATTTTCATATAGTTTTAAAGGGAATTTAATTACCTTTCAAAAAACAGGCTAAACAGGAAAGTAATAAATTAAAACATTTGAAGAAAACAGAATACACTGTATCTTCGCCAATACTGGTTCGATTACGATGATTTTTTTTGTTCTTTTGGTAATTTAATTTCAAATTTTTTAAAATAAATTTTACCATAGAATATATACTTAGCGAGTTAGGCCCCAAAACATTTTTCTTTTCTTTATAACATTTTTCCTGAATTTTTTTGCGAATTTAGTCCAAGTATGAAAATTGAAAGGACAATTATTATAGAAAAGTTTCATCAAAATCGTTAGAACTTTTTTCTCGCTACAGTCAATATAAAAACATGTTTTTAATTTATTAAACAGCAGCTATTGTGCATGGAGCACCCAATTTCTGTCACAGTCATCAGTAGTCGACACACCCAACAAAATAAAAAAAGAAGCAACCAAATCGGTTCAATAGTTCCCGAGAAAATCTTGATACAGACAGACCAATGGCTAAAAATGTGTTTTTCGGACTAAGGGAGCTCTGAAATGTATAGATCTGTCGAAAACTGCATATCGGAAATTTGACCCGATCGCAATACTTTCCTTACCTAGTATAGCTAGGAAAGTAAAAAACTGAGCTATTGATATGACATGCCCACACATTACTTTTCCTAATACATAAGGAAAAATTGTTCAAAATAAAACATCGAGTTGTTACAAAAATATTCATTTATATTTTATTTTTATAACAAATATTTTTTTATTAAACTATGTAGATAATTAGAACATTATCACACAAGCATTAGGAATTTACTCACAGATTTGAGCTATCGAATTCCAAATAACGGAGATCCGATTTCCAAGGGAACATGTTTAAAAAATTCAGAACGCCATAGCTCTGTGACAAATGATCCAACTTCAATGTTTTTTTTTGTTTTGTAGGAAAAAAGCCTCGCCTTAATCTATATATTTATCCTAATTACTCTACAGCCCTCAGTGGGTCCTGTCCTCCTCAATGAGCTTCCGCCAAATGTCTCTGTTCTGTGCGCCCACTTTTCAGTTTCTGACTCTCAACAGGCCTCTCACGTCACCTGCCCATCTCGATTTCGGTCTGCCACCTCTTCTCATATAGTATAATCAATACATTTATTCTTTATAATGGCGCTAAATCTAAAAATCATTGATATCGATTTAAAGAGCAATAATTTAATTTTCCAACAATTTTACGATTATTTGAAAGATTACTAAATTCCCTACCAAAATAAAAATCATTAAAATCGAACAATTATTTGCAAAGATACAGCTTATTATTTGTAAACAAGTTAGTTTTAAACATGAATGAAATTTTAAAATATTTTTATTTTCCACGGTTGATTACAATTGCCAAGAAAATACGAATTGATTCTTTTATCTTATGATATTTTGCATAATTTTTTTTCTCCTTATTATTTTGCCATTGACCAAATATTCAAAATGAATTATTCACACGGATCAACTAGCACTAAAAAAATTTAATATAAATTAAAATGCGTATAAAAATTACTTATACTCATGCATAAACTTACCTCTAACCAGGTCAAATTAAAACGCCATGGCATAATTGAAATGGCTAGTTACTTAGATAAATTGAACAAATAAATAAAATTGTACTCACCCTCTGTGACCTGAACTGCTGCGGGTGTTCTGGTTGGCGACATTGATTATTAAAATAAGAATTAGGAGGATCTGGAATAAAAAAATAAATAAAATAAACAAAGATAATTTTTTATTAATTATTCATAGACTAATATCAAGAAAAGACTCGGTGAAATTTCAATTAATTATAGAATAATTTTAACTATCTTTAAAAATCCCCTTCATTTTGCAACTATACAATCAGAAAATTATACAAAGTGATTATTAAAATATATTAAAAAAAAAATCTGAAAAAAAGTTGGGACTTGTCTGATAGGAGGACTGGATGAAACCTCCTTTATTATCTAATGTTGAGTTATGAATGAAAGCTGAAAGTTATTCCATTGTTTATGGTTGCTCCTCGTGTAAGCTGTGAGTTATTACATTGTTTATTTTTGTTCCATTTGCGTTATTTTCGTCAAATTATGGATGTTATAACATTCTGGGAATTACCGTCTTCAGAAGAAGAGGCTATTGAATATTTTCAAAACGCTGGGATAATTCATGGGGTCATGAAATGAAATTAGACAGAAAGACGAAATGGAGATGTTTTAGTACCAGTTGTAACAAAAAAGTTTCTATAAGAAAAGGAACGTGTTTAGAGGGGTCGAGGATTTTGTTTTTAACGGCTTTAAAATTTATTTATGGGTGGTTCCATAATTTAGCAACGATAAAATGGGACAAAGAGCAGCTGAAACTATCCATGGGGGCGGGGTGGCCGAATAGGCTAAAGCGTGTGTAACAGCACCGCCAGTTGCCTGGCAACCGGATAACAGAGATTTGAGATGATATAAAAAGTACGAGTTCGCGTCCCGGTGCCGGAGGGGATTTTAAATTCCCCGCCCTCACCCCCCCGGCCTGGGAAAATCCCGTATAGCCGAAAAAAAAAAGAAAAAAAAAAAAAAAAAACTGAAACTATCCAAGGCAACCATAGTAACGTGGAACAAATGTTTAAGAGAGGTTTGTGCACATAACATGTTATACAGGTCAATTACAAAAATTGGAGGGCCTGGCAAAGTCGTTGAAGTAGACGAGAGTCTTTTTTATAAAAGAAAAAATAATGTAGGGAGAGTTTTACCTGAGCAATGAATGTTTGGCGGAGTTTGCTGAGAAACAGTGTTTCATCATCAAAATAAACGACAGAAAGGCAACAACTTTATTACAAGGTATTAAAAACAATATACAAGAGGGAAGCACCATTTATTCTGACTGTTGCAAAGGATACAACACACGACAACTGAATGAAGCAAACTATAATTTATATCGCTTCTTTTATAAGTACATACGTTGTTTATTTTTTTATTATTACATTTATTTTGTCTATTTCATATATGTGTTGTAAAATTAAAGTGTTTTCTTATTGTTGTGGGAATTATTACATTTGTTTTCGTCTATTTAATATATATGTTGTAAAATAAAAGTTTTTTATTATTACATATTTTTTTTTTTTACAATTTCAATGACATGAATATAATACAATAAATATGAATGGGAAGATAGGAATTATGAGAAGCCTTATCAGAATTAACAGTGTTCAGGTTATAAACATTGGCAGATAGCAGTCGGTCCAGTCCGGCTATCAGACAACCACCAAAAAGTTTTATTATTAGCACTATAAATTATATTTCTATCACTTAATAGACCATAGGATCCTTCACAGTAATTGAGCTTTCAAATAAATAAACAATAATTTTAATCCTACAAAAACATGTTTGCATTAAGATATATAATGATAAATATTTTAGAATATTGGAACTAAAGGGACTTGACGTCGCATCAAAATCTTTAAAACACAATTTATCCTGACTCTATCTGTTGATTTTTGAATCTTCCCAATTTTTTCATTGATCGTTATTTTAGTAATTAGCTCTATGTTTTGAAATAGGCATTCTCAATGGATCACTTCAATCGTAACTTCTCAATGAAATTTTTCTTTTGATCCCCAATTTATGCAAAATGCATCGCTACTGAGAATCGTAAAAGAGATCTATACTACAGTATTACAAACACTCAGTGTCAAAATGTTAGACACACTTCAAAAATTTTTATCTCTACTCTCCCATCTTTTCAAATTATCCGTAAAACAGTATTAAAATAATCTATCACTCACCTGAAGTTAATCAATAGCCTGCTTGTATTTTGGTTCTCAAGCAAAAAATATCAACATTTTTTTTAACTTTTCAAATTAAAGTTAAGGCCCTGGTAAAAATAAATAAAACTCATTTTAATATTTCATGGCCTTTCCATCACCATTTATTAATTCAAAAATTCTGTTTGGTAATGAATTGTACAATTGTTTGATTGTTTCTTGAGGTAATTGTTCCCATGAAGCCAGAATTGCAGATTCCAAATCTTTGATCGTTCCAAACTGTCTTGACTCAGAGTACACCCTTCTTGAAAGAGTTCCTCAAACATTTTCGATAATGTTCAGGTCTGGAGAGACAGCAGGCCAATATAATTTGGCAATTTTGTTGCGAGTAAACCAGTCTTTAATAATTTTTGCTTAATGTATTGGGGCGTTATCTTGCTGGAAAATTGGTGTGCCTTCAGACATATCATTAAAAGTCAACTTTTGTTTCTCTAATAAATTTTTATATTTAGCTGAATTTACTCTTGATAAAAGAAATACCAAATTTCCTTTTTTTTTTGTAATAAATTGATGCCCAAACCATAACTTTTCCTCCTTCCATTTGACGCCTTGATAAAATGTTTTCTTATTTAAATAAGATACTGGACAGACATATTAGGGAACACATATTGGCTACTAGTCCAATACATTCAAAGCAATATGCCTACCAACCAGGAAAATCCTGTGAGGTGGCGCTTCACAACTTGGTAACAAGAATTGAGAAATCCTTAGAACAGAGTGAAATCATGATAGGCGTCTTCGTTGATATCGAGGGTGCCTTTGATAGAACTCCCTATAACATCATAAATGATGCGCTAAGGAAAAAAGATATAGACGCTATGACCTCCAGATGGATTGGGAGAATGCTGGAGGACAGAGTTCTAAAATCAGAAATAGGGCACAAGGAACTGTGGATTAAACCCTGCGGGGGATGTCCTCAGGGAGGTGTGCTCTCTCCACTACTGTGGTGTTTTGTGGCTGACTCATTATTGGAAGCCTTAAACACTGCAGGCATTTATGCTCAGGGATATGCTGACGATATTGCCATCCTCATAGGAGGGAGGCATCAGAGTGTCCTCTCTGATATCCTCAGTACAGTGTTCAATATTCTTAGGAATTGGTGCAGGATTAAAGGACTAAGCATCAACCCTAGGAAAATCAATGTGTGTATCTTCACCAAGAAGAAGAAGGTGGCTATTAAAATGCCGGAAATCAATGGTATCCAAGTGACACTGAGTAAGGAAGTAAAACATCTTGGAGTCACTTTGGACCATAAACTGACATGGACTAAACACGTTCAAAACGTGACAAGTAAAGCCCTCAAATGCCTATGGGCCTGTAAAAGAGCGATAGGAAAGAATTGGGGGCTAAAACCAAAAATGGTATACTGGCTGTACACAACAACAGTCAGACCTATCATACTTTACTCAGCTTTGCTATGGTGGCACAAAGCAAAGACTGTAGCCAATTTATCCTTATTAGGAAAGATCCAAAGGCTTGCTTGTATAATGATAACAGGCGCAATGAGCACAATACCGACGGCTGCTATGGAGGTGGAGGCTCGGGCAACAATTACACTGTACAGGATAAGCAAGTCAACTTACTGTTCAACAGTCCCCTGTCAGGGAGGACACACAACACTGCTGAACAGGATTGGAAGTGAAAGAGTGCTAGCTATGCACTCTGACACTCTAATCCGAGAACATCAGGACCGAAAATATAAGGTTGAGATAGATAGCAGCAGAAGTCATAAACCAAATAGTGGAATAAATTGCTACACAGATGGCTCTCTAACAGCCTTCGGCTCTGGAGCAGGCATCTATCGCAAAGATATAAAAGAAAAAATTTCTATACCACTTGGCAGGTATGCTTCAGTGTTTCAATCCGAGATACTGGCAATCTGCCACTGATTACAAAACCTACTGCAAACCAATGTGACTGAGAAAAAGAACACCATTTTTACTGACAGTCAGGCAGCAATAGGTGCTCTTGACAATTATTATGCTTATTCAAAGGTCGTTAAGGAATGCAATAGAGCACTTAACGAGCTAACTGAGCACAACAGAGTTGCAGTGGAGTGGGTGCCAGGTCACTCTGGCATACCAGGCAACGAGATGGCTGATGAGCAAGCCAGGTTGGGCTCAGATACTATTCCTATAACTCCCGAGCCTGTCTGTGGAATCAGCCTTAGTACTGCCAAGGGCAGGATCAGGGAGATCTATGGGAACAAATTTAGGAATTACTGGACCGACAAGAAACAGAGACACTCGAAGCTGTTCCTTAAAGGCCCATGTAAAAAAAGAAGTGAACAGCTACTGAACATGGACAGAGCAGCTCTTAAAAAACTCACAGCGATCTACACAGGTCACTGTAAGTTAAATAATCATATGTTCAATCTCCGAGTAATGACGAATCCGCTATGCAGATTCTGTCAGGAGGAGAATGAAACAGCTTTTCACATCATATGCAGATGTGACAAGTTTACAAGGCTGAGACTGGCGTTATTTGGGGAGGAACAGATGGATCTCCCCAGTAGATTTGAGTCGGTTAACCCAACCAGCCTACTTAGATACACGGAAGCGACAGGACTAACGTTTTGAATAAGACGACCTAGCGAATATTGGCGCACAATGGACCCAAAGGGGTCGACGTGCTTAAAGCCAACATTAAAAAAAAAAAAAAAAATGTTTTCTTCTTTTCTTAAGTTATGAAAATAATACAAAAATTCATCTGGCCCATCCAGATTGAATTTTTTTTATCACTAAAGATGACTTTCTTCCATTCCTCAGTCCATGACATCAAATTATGAATAAAGGCCATCCGGGCTAATTTTTGACGGGTACTCAAAACTGGCTATCTTTTAAATTTTTTTCTAACTATTTTTTTTAAAATATCTTTGGACATTCCTTAGTTTTGTTTGAACTTCAGCTTTCTCAGCAATTGCCCTTGATGTTTTACAAGAGTTGGATGCCATTTGAAGAATATTCCGTTTCTCTCGTAATGTCAAAGCAGGGGGACCTCCCAGTTGAACGGAGGGTTCCACATGTCTCCCCATGCCGAATAAACTTTGCGACAGATGAAAAACTCCACTTGATTTGGCAGGCTATTTCCCTACAACTAATCCTGTCCTTGTGGAGTGAAGAAATCAAATGGCACTCTTCTTCGGAGAAACACTTATTTTTCCCCATAACTCATGTACTTTTTAGGTCAATTTTGAATCAAATTCAACACTCCACTGAAGTAGAAATGGTATTTTAAAGATTTCAACTCTAGAGGATTAAGAAAATAGTAAACAACAAGTGTGTCTATCATTTTGATGCATATAAAATGTCAATATTTACTGATATTGGATTTAAATAATCCTCAAGGTCTGAGAAGATTGTCCCCATTTCAATATATCAATTTATACTTTAAACTGTTCTTAAAAAAAAATAATATCCATCAATAATAAAGACAATATGAGAAGTTTTTTTAATTTCAATGGGATTGTCTAACATTTTGACACTGAGTGTATAGTGTAGATATGAAGATCATTTCATATATTTTTTAAAATAATTGCGCACTTAGCACATACGTGAAAAATGCCATTGATAGGATGGTTTTGATAAATCTAATATATAAAAGATAAGTTCATATGATTTATTTCTTAATTAAATATATGCCAAGACCAATACTGGCAAAGTGGTTGGAAGTGTGAATCTGATACCACTAACTAAATGTAGATGTTCGGAAACAAAAATCTTGTTCATATTTAATTCATTCTCGTATATCTAAAAGTCTCAAGTTGGGGCCATTTTTGGAGCTAACCATATATTTTATCAGACATGTTTAATATCTTACACGATTAAAATACAAAACGTAATAGATGATCAAACATATAGAATTTTTTACATAGAAGAATAATAACGGTCCAATAATAATAAACGAATAAAGAACGGGTACATACATCTCATTAGCTCCCTTCTTTACTCTCCTCTCATTTACCTCAATAACCGTCCTATCCATTTTTCCCTTCAGTCCAAAACCTATGAGTAACCTTTGACCAGAATCTCTCCTGGAATAACCGTATCTCCCAGATTACCCGACAATGCCCTTAAACAACTCCTAAGATTCTGTTATTTCATTCCTTGAAAAACCAGACAGCTCCTTGTAACCTCCCTTATATTCCCCCACTTCGATTACAGGTGTTTGGTGTATGGAGGGCTATCTACCAGGCTAGAAATGAAACTGAAGAAACTCATGAACTGTTTTATAAGAAACATCTTTGGGATCCCCAGAGTTCACATGTTTCATTCTGGTGCACCGAGTTGAAGTGGCTTTATCCTACTTCCCGACGACAATTCCTCCTAGGTCTTTTCCTTTTCCAAGTCCTCAGAACCAAAAACCCTCTCTACTTTCTGGGACTCCTTACTCTACACTCCTCTATCCACTCTCTTAATACCAGGTCCCAACCAATAGATTTATATTTCCCCTCCCATAAAACTGCTTCTTTCAAATTCTTCGTCTTTCATGCTGCCTCCTTTTGGAACTCTCTTCCTACTTCCATAAGTGAATCTTTGTCCACAAATTCCTTCAAACAACTCCTGTTCCACCACCTACTCCACATTCAAACTTCCGCAAACATGTAAAATTATTTGCATCTGTATACTGTTTAATTTCAATCTACTGCACAATTGTAATAACAATCAACGGGTAATAAATATTCAGGACGCAGTCATTATAAAATTTTTTTTATTTGTGCCAATGTTTCAACCCAAACATGTGGGTTATCATCAGGGTGTGGTTCGAGCACTGAAGGCTTTCCAGTACTTGAAAGCCTTCAGTGCTCGAACCACACCCTGATGATGACCCACATATTTGGGTTAAAACATTGGCACAAATAAAAAAAAATTTATAATGACTGCATCCTGAATATTTATTGCCCATGATATGTAGAACAGTCGACTAGTTTCCTTCAATAATAATCAACAGTTAATTAGTTTGTATTTTTTATTATTCTAAGTCAGACTAAGACCCATACATTTGTAACTGTTATTATTCTTAGGGTAGTCCCAACTCTTATCCTCTTTATGTAGTCTAGTCAACTCTTTATGTAGTCCCAACTCTTATCCTTATGGTAGTCCCAGAATAAAATTATTTTTTCATTTCATAGAATTGACCACAACCAAAATTTTCTCTAAAAGTAATAATATATCAACTAACATGATGAATACTTAATTCTTTTCTGATTGATAGAAACAAACAAAATGGGGTTAATAAATTCAACAATAAGGGAAAGAAAAAAAGTTATGCAACTTAATAATTACTTATATGAGGCTTCTTCATTTTAATTTTCTTCCTAAAGGCCTGAGCTTTTCTCAATGAATCAACCCAATCACTTCCATCCCTAAACATGAAAAAAACAAAACAAAAGCAACACAATATAATACAACACAACAAAGCACACACAGAAACAAAGAAATAATTGAATGGTAATTACGGATGGTATTGTCGAGAGGGAGAAGGTATGTCGCCTGGGCTCGGAGGTAGTTCGTCCACTCTTCTTGTATGATCCTCAAAATCTAAGAGAAAAAAAAATTACATAAACGAAAAATATGAAAAAACTTAACTTTGTTAAACCACTATTATTGTTATATAAAAACAAATAGATCAGGATTTTTTTACACTCTCTATAATATCGATTAGATTATAACTGTCTATTAGTACATTTGATATGCTAAAAAACATTTTCTATCCACATAAATTAATAACAAAATTATGGTATAAAGCAATAAATAAGCATAAGGAATTATTAATAGCAATTAAAAAAAAAAAAAACTACAAATAAAATGAGTCGCAATAGCCTTACAGACAGAAAATGGAGATGAAAATGAACCTACTATTTACTTAAATACGTATCGGCCCCAAACTCAAACCAGTCTTGAAATAATTCTTCAACACCAGCTCACCAAGTAATAAATTCGCCCTAAAACCTAGACACGCTATACAAAACCTACTGACTAAGACAACACCTATCTAAAATAATAGAAATTTTATTTATGATATCTCATGTAAAAATTGCGATTACATCGACCGATATAAAAACAAGAATTTATAACCACAAAAGTATTCTTAAATCTAATTCAAAAACAGTTATCGCTTTATCAAACCACGTTAAAAACCATAAACATGAAATAGATTTATAGAAAATATTAAAACACTACATAAATCAAACTACCGATCAAAGCTAAAAATTTTAGAATCCATCCTTATAGCAATAAACCAAATAAAGGTGTTAAATTCAAACAGGAAGTGGCTCACGTTCCACTAAACTATTCATATATATAATAGCAATTTATAAAAATTTAAATAATAGTGAATTAAATAAGGTAGGGTAACTTTAGTTGCCAAATAGTTCCAATAACATAGAGAGTGCTGACAGTAAATCCTCATCACTCAACAGGGTGGTATCCGACAAAGAGGAGTCCTACTCACGGAGACGTCAGTAAATAAAATTTTAACCTATAATCGTTTTACAAATGAAATGAGGCGAAGAACAAGAACACTGATCTGATCTTTTATATTTTTTGAAAAAAGACAAAATAATATAAAAAGGTACGGCATGTGATAACAATTAAAAATTATGTAATACATGAATCGTTAAAGTTATTAATTAATTAATTTACGTATCCTATTTGATTTATTATAATTATAGAGACTAGTAGGCCCGTGCAAATAATTCGCACAGCATATTGTTATCAAATGCCAAATTAATAAGAAAATAAAATAATGCAATTCTATGAATTTTTTTTTCCTTTTGTAGGGGATTTAGCAATCTTTTATATGATCATGGGCATAACGAAGGGAAAAGTGTGTAATTTTTTAATTATTCGCAAATAAAGTTTGTTTTCTTTCATAACTTATTTGCCAGAATTTCCTGGGTGATTGGACTATTTTGCCAGCCTGAAGGAGAAGGAAGCCTTCGAAATTGGAGGCTCAATCTTGAGATTCGGTGAAAAATTAACGATGATGTGGCATGCCGATCAAAAACACCATCGATAAATAATATTAACTCCTCCTTTCTCGATCATAGAGACCTCAAGTCGACGAAATGAGACATGCATTCAATGACAGTACTACAATTAATGTAAGGTTGTGTGGATACGAATCCTATGGCTTGCGTTATCTCAAAAATAGTACGTTTTTGGGCTTAAAAATCCGATAGTTCCAGAGAAACTATCCGGGTCTTGCTGTAAGCATCAAAATCTTCAAGATCCAATTTGTCCCGCATCGATCTACAGACCTACCACCGTTCGTGAAATTCTGAATCCAACGGTACCCCATTCATGGTATTTGAGCATCACAGGAGCTTATATTTGGTACAAAACCGATTTCGAGCCTTACTGTAATAATATATGTGGGGATGAATATTGTGCACTGACACCAAAAGCTAGTCTGCAAATAAAGTTGTAAAAATATTATAGAGACTGTCAATGGTAAAAAAATCCTGATCTACTATTAACATATAAAACAGTTTAAAATTACCTAATAAAAACAAATATTAAACTAAGACTTAAGATTTTCTTGAATTACATCTGGTTCATTACACGTCTCCCAAGGTAATATTTAGAAAATGATATCCTATTATTTTTTTTTTTTTTTAAAGATCTGAGGAAACCTCAGTCCAGATGATGGGAAAGGGGAGGAGGGAAGGAGAGTATAAATTTGTTGAACTAACGTCAACCGCAATGAGCATTACCAAAATTTCTTTTTATTTTTCTGTATTCCTGTCATTAGACTTCAACTATTACTAGGGCTCGGATTTTAAGGATTAATCCTTTTTTTTCTGATTAAGGAAAAACAGAATTCAAAACAGATCTATGCCAATCATGAATAGTAGATTTAAAATAAAAAATCCTGTAGGATGTTTTTTTTATTTTTATTTATTTTGTAATTTTGCACTAAAATAGATCTGTTTTGCAACTTAGCACAAAAAAGATCTATTTTGGGGTCATCATTAAAAAATTGATTTAATTGAATATATACTCACAAATTATTATGTATGTTTTTATGGGTACTTTTTGTCCAGGGGGCCGCTCCTGACTGCTATCTGCCAATGTTTATAACCTGAACACTGATAACTCCTATAACGCAGTGATAAGCCTTCTCCTACTTCATATCTTTGTATTATTGTATTAAATTCGTATTATTGAAAGCGTTAAAAGATACAAAAACAAATGCAATAACAAAAAAAAAAAAACTTTTATTTGACGACACATATATTAATGAAATAACAAAAAAACACTTTAAGAAGATATGTACATATAAAACATCAAAATGAAATAATAAAAAAACACATTTAAAAGAACATATTTACATAGAAAAGAAAAAATATCAACACTATAAACAACATATGTACAAATTATTTTCAGTTAATTATTCACTTCCTTTTGTCTTATTTATTTTGGAAGGCAAAATTGTTTTATGCTATTGAAAAAATAGCGAGGAATGGGTCCTCTTCTCTGTGAGCCCGCCTCCGCAAAAATTTGCACAAATATGAATCAAGGTGTTGTCTGGCAGTTCCTCTATGTACTTTATTTCTCCACTTAGCTGAGCCCCACAATCGTTCTATGTGTTGAGTATGAACCCCAGTTGATGGATCGACAAAATTATAGCGGCGATTCACTTGGAAATGGTCATAGTTTGCTTCGTTCAGTTGTCGGGTGTTGTATCCTTTCCAACAGTCCGAATAAATGGTCGTTCCCTCTTCTATATTTTCTTTAATTGCTTGTAATAAGGTTGTTGCCTTTCTGTCAATTATTTTGATGATAAAACATTCATCTGTTTCTCGGCAAACTCCCCCAAACATCCACTGCCTAGATAAAACTCTCCTCACATGATTTTTTTTCGTTTAGAAAAAAGACTTTAGTCTACTTCAACCACTTTGCCAGGTTCTAAGAAGATCCATAATATGACAAAAATAAACGGAAAAAAGATGAAAAATAAACTCCAAGTAGCCATAAACTAAAACAAAATGTAAAATAAACACAAACGGCCAAAAACTAAAAATAATGAAAAATAAACACAAACGGACCAAAAGTAAAGAATTTAATAAGTGAATAACTGAAAACTAAGCAATGCAATAACTCAAAAGTTTGGCGGGATAAGAAGAGGGAGGTTATGTATGTGATGTGACGTTAGATAAGATACATAAGAAGTGAGGTTTCAAAACGGGCCCCTAGACAAGAAGTACCTTTTTATGCTAAATTAAACATCTAATTATATCAATTTAATGAAAAAAATAGTAGAACCCTTGTAATATCATTATTATTAAATTTTTTTTTTGGGGAGGTCCTCCCCTTCCTCGCCGTTAAGTTGATTTTCGACAATATTTTTTCCTTTTCGCCTCCCGAACACGGTGTCGTGCTAAGATACAATTTTGAATTATAGTTTATTACAGAGAGGATGAAATGCTGAACGAATTCCTCGCATACAGTATGCAGGCCCGATTTTTAGTTTCTGAGATATTTTAAACCATATGTAAAAACATTTCAATTAGTCGACTATAGCCGACTACATCCAAGCGTTAAAATTTGATGTATCAATCTAATTCACTCTCCATAAAATGTGCGAAACGCTCCTAAAGAAATTTTCACTTCAAAAAATATTATTTGATTCATCATTAATATTGTATTACAATTTAATTAATTAGTAATTGAGGGAAATGTGTAGAAATATATAAAAAAAAAAATTATTTTATTAGTAGCATACTTGGTTCAGGATTGGACGTGAAGGAGTACTAGATATGCACTCTGACACTCTAATCCGAGAATATCAGGACCGAAAATATAAGGTTGAGATAGATAGCAGCAGAAGTCATAAACCAAATAGTGGAATAAATTGCTATACAGATGGCTCTCTAACAGCCTTCGGCTCTGGAGCAGGCATCTATCGCAAAGATATAAAAGAAAAAATTTCTATACCACTTGGCAGGTATGCTTCAGTGTTTCAATCCGAGATATTGGCAATCTGCCACTGTGTACAAAACCTACTGCAAACCAATGTGACTGAGAAAAAGATTACCATCTATACTGACAGTCAGGCAGCAATAGGTGCTCTCGACAATTATTATGTTTATTCAAAGGTCGTTAAGGAATGCAATAGAGCACTTAACGAGCTAACTGAGCACAACAGAGTTGCAGTGGAGTGGGTGCCAGGTCACTCTGGCATACCAGGCAACGAGATGGCTGATGAGCAAGCCAGGTTGGGCTCAGATACTATTCCTATAACTCCCGAGCCTGTCTGTGGAATCAGCCTCAGCACTGCCAAGGGCAGGATCAGGGAGATCTATGGGAACAAATTTAGTAATTACTGGACCGACAAGAAACAGAGACATTCGAAGCTGTTCCTTGAAGGCCCATGTAAAAAAAGAAGTAAACAGCTACTGAACATGGACAGAGCAGCTCTTAAAAAACTTACAGCGATCTATACAGATCACTGTAAGTTAAATAATCATATGTTCAATCTCCAAGTAATGACGAATCCGCTATGCAGATTCTGTCAGGAGGAGAATGAAACAGCTTTTCACATCATATGCAGATGTGACAGGTTTATAAGGCTGAGACTGGTGATATTTGGGGAGGAACAGATGGATCTCCCCAGAAGATTTGAGTCGGTCAATCCAACCAGCCTACTTAGATACGCGGAAGCGACAGGACTAACGTTTTAAACAAAACGACCTAGTGAATATTGGCGCACAATGGACCCAAAGGGGTCGACGTGCTTAAAGCCAACATAAAAAAAAAAATAAAAAAAAAACATACTTGGTTGCTGGTGATGTATTCCGCTAGTAGTTGGTGTCGGTGGTGCCCTTATTTCTGGAAGTCGAACAACAGTTCTTCTTCTGAAAATAAAATTAATTATTTTTTAATACAATAAATAATATATAAATTAAAATATATATAAAACTTCTAACTAACCTTGGGACGGGAGGAGTCGACCTAGCAGTCAGCCTATAGTCAGCCATGTCACCAGGCATCTCCGATTCACTCATGTCGTGGCAGCTATTGCTGTCGATACAAAATATAATGATTTTTAAATATTACTTTTAAAGTTATTTTAAATTACTAAACTAAACAGTAGTTTATACCTAAGATATTTAATCGATTATCATTAGGGATTGTATTTATAAACATTAAGACGATACCACCAACTGATTATCGATTAAATCAAAGTAATCATCCATATTCAGTCAACAAAGAAAATTCATATTTGAAAAATACATTGAGAACAAACAGAAAGAAAGTTCTGATTTTTAAGCTTTTTTATCTCGAAAGTATATTATAATGAAACAAGAAATTAAGTGAATTTTGGTTTAGAAAGCAGTCCATGTTACTGAGCCAAAAATTCTATTAATGATAAAAGGTCATGAGTCATTTCTCCTACAAGTTTTAGAGAAAAACGTCAAGTACTTTTTGGATGAGTTACAGAGATCAGAGCATCGCTGGGATAAGTGTGTAGAGTTACAAGGAGACTATATTGAAAAAAAGAAAAAAGTCTTGTGTTTTTGTTAGGTTAGAAACTTTTCAGACCACCCTTGTATTCTTATCGGTCAATGTCAATAAGAGATATTTTGCTAAATTCCCAACTGCAGCCAGGGATTGGTTTTGTTTCAAGTTCACTTTAATTTATGGGTATAAATAACCAAGACCGTGCTAACGAAAGGTTATTTACAATAGATATATGGGAGTGGTTATACACTGACAGGCGAAAAATTCTACCCACTTGATTTTTTCATGTTTTCATCTAAAAATATTTCTGCCACTTGTAAAAAAAAGTTGTACTTTTATATAATACATGGTATTTGTAGATAATACTTAGTATTTATGGAATTTTATAATCTTTTTTACCTTTAATAATCAAAATGTGATTGGGTAAGAAAGATTAGAGAGAAAAAAAAAAACGAACAATTATTATTCTAAAAGAAATTAATTACATCCTCCTCTTGCCTTCACTACTTTTTGAAGACGCCTCGGCATACTTTCCACCAGTCGGGAAATGTCCCTTTGCTGGAGGATAGCCCATTTCTCCCGAAGAGCCCTTTCAATGTCCTGCAATTTATCAGGAAGTGTTGCCAACGCTCTTATTCGTCTTCCGAGGTTATCCCATAATGCTCAATAGGGTTCAAACCTGGAGAACGTGCTGGCCAGGCTAAAACCTCAATATTGTTCTGTTAAAGGAACGTCTGCACTATGTGGGCGTGCATTAGAATAGAACGATCGCCGATTTTGTTGAGGATAGGCAACACATGAGGTTCCAAAATCTCATCTACATAGCGATTGGCCGTCAAAGACCCTCCACGAACAACAACCAATTCTGTGCGGCGCTCAATTGAAATCCCAGCCCATACCATTAAGGAACCACGTTGGAAAGGTTGGCTCTGGGAAAAATTACATGCTGCATATCTTTGCTTTCTTCTTCTCCACACCCTTTCGCGCCCGTCTGGAGATCGAAGAGCGAATCTTGACTCATCTGTAAAAAGTACAGCACTCCATTCGTCCATAGTCCAATGGCTGTGTTCTCGAGCAAAAGCCAGTGTGTTAAATTACTCTGTGAGTTCTGGTCAACTCTGGTCCTCTTACTGGACGAAAAGCCATTAATCCATACTCATTTAATCTTCTCCGAGCGGTACGTTCAGAAATTTCACACCTCGAACTTCTTCGAGCTGATGAATCGCTTGAACAACGGTAAGGTGCCGGTTTCGTAAAATTCTCAAAGTCAAAAACCGGTCATCCAGTGGTTCTATTACCCTAGGCCGTCCATAACCGGGCCTTCTATTGTAAGAACCAGTTTCCCGAAAACGCCTGATGGCGTCTCGTAAAGTTTCATATGGAACTCCGATGGCATTAGCTGCATATCTAATGGAACGTCCATCATCAATAAATGCCACACCACACGGAACATCCTCAGCACTAAGAGGCATTTTTAAACTTAATATTGAAAAAATTAAAAGCCGGAGAATATGAAATGTGCAGCAAGAAACGGCACTCAACTAATGATACAGAATAAACATTTTGATTCCATAGAAAGTAAACATTGGAATCTAGAATCATTTCATTGAATTAAGGATTAAGGGTTATTGTTCTCTATATTAACATTCCTAATTGAAAACAAACAAAAAGATAACCTATTTATTCATTAAAAACAATAGACCAATCCAAGGCAGAAATATTTTTAGATGAAAACATGAAAAAATCAAGTGGGTAGAATTTTTGCCTGTCAGTGTATTACATGAAAATCTGTTTCATAATTATCATATTGAATTAGAGACATCGATAAAGAAATCACCTCATAGGGACGGAAGTTTGGTGCTGGTGGTGAGTCGGAGAGGGTGGGATGGGGGCGGCGTTGTGGACCCTGCGGTAGCTGCGGTACTGGGCTGTCGGGACAGGCAGCGGCCCGGGGCCGAGCAGTCGCAGGCACTTGCGGTCCAGGCTGCTGCCGCCGCTCCCTGCCGCAGCGCCCCCCGCGGGGCTCGTGGTGCTGCTGTTGGAGCTCCCGCCTGAGCCCAGCTTCTTTAACGAACCAAACATCCGGCTGCTAGTGGAGTCGCTACTGCAAAATTAAAACAGTCAGGTATTATTTTATTTGCTTACTAATTAATAATAATTAAATCTAGATTTGATAACATAACAAGACTAACAAAAAGTAATTAGTAAATTAACACCCTTTATCACATAATCCACACATATATTATTACAGTAAGGCTCCAAATTGGTTTTGTATCAAATATAAGCTCCTGTCCTGCTCAAATACCATGAATGGGCTACCGTTGGATTCAGAATTTCACGGGGGGTTAGCAAATCGTATTCTCCACTTTTGTTTTTCTTTCTAAAATAAATAAATTCTATACAAACATTTTGCTAGGCTTCAATATTGGAACGGTGGTAGGTCTGTAGATCGATACGGGATAAATTGGATCTTGAAGATTTTGATGCGTAAAGCAAGACCCGGATAGTTTCTCTGGAACTATCTGATCCTGCGTTTTTAAGCCCAAAAACGTACTATTTTCGAGACAAAGCAAGCCACCCATATCTACACAACCTTACATTAATTGTATTACTGTCATTGAATGCATGTCTCATTTCGTCGACTTGAGGCCTCTATGATCGAGATAGGGGGAGTTTATATTATTTATCGATGGTGTTTTGATCGGCAAGCCATATCATCGTTAATTTTTCACCAAATCTCAAGAGTCACCAATTTCGAAGGCTTCCTTCTCCTTCAGGTGGGCAAAATAGTTCAATCACCCAGAAAATTCTGGCAAACAAGTTATGAAAGAAAACAAAACTTTATTTGCGAATAACTAAAAAATTACACACTTTTCCCTTGGTTATGCCCATAATTATATAAAAGATTAATAAATTCCCTACAAAAGCTTACTGAAATTTGTATACATGTTAGTTCCCAACAGAAATGAAAATTTAAATTATTTTTTGTTTTCTTTTTGAATTATTTTTATTGATAACATTTGATTTCTTTATCTTTTGATATGTTGCATTTTTTATATTATTATTAATTTGGCATTTGATAACAATATACTGTGCGGATTTTTCGCACGGGCCTACTAGTTAGAGAGTATAACCCTTAACTAGAGAATGGCGATAATTAAAAGTTTGATATAGTCATTGTAAAGCTATCGATAGTATCTATTGGGTTGGCAAATAAGTCCTTTCGGTTTCTGTCACTATGATATACTTCTCATCTGATGAATTAATCCCTAAGGTGGATTGTTTATCGTGTTTATAATACGTCAACTCTTGTTGAAACTAGCTTAGTATTAGCCCTGGAGCCAGGGCCCAAAAATCGACCTCATCGCAGGCGAAGGTTTCATTGTAAATTACGAAATTGTATGTTATTCTGAGTAAATAAAACCTTGTCTGCCGTTCCAGAGCCACTACTTTCAAAAATGGCAGCTGAATTAAAGAATATTAGGCCACTAATTTGAGGATCAAGATGGGAAATCCATTGCAAAAAATGTGAGAGAAGTTTTAATTTTTTTAACTTGTATATATGGGTTTAGACATGTAAAAAACAAAATTGCCACCAAGTGAAAACTTTTTATATCCAAAAAAGTCAGATTTTTTCGATATTTTTTGGGTTTTTCAACTGTAACTTCTAAACAATCAAATCGATCGAGTATAATCTGGTCAAATTTCCAACATGCCGTTTTAGAGCCCTCTGAATCCGAAAAACACATTTTTAGCCATTGGTCTGTCTGTCTGTGCCAAGATTTTCTTGGGAACTACAGAACCGATTTTGTTGCTTCTTTTTTTATTTTGTAGGGTTTTGAATTGAATAGCTTGCGCGCAATAAATGAAAAACATGTTTTTCTAAAGACTGTAGTGCAAAAACGGCTCTAACTATTTTGATGAAGCTTTCCTATAATGTTCTAATCATTGTTCTTTCAATTTTCGTATATAGACTACCCGAAAAAATTCAGGGAAAAAGGTTATAAAGAAAAGAAAAATCTTATGGGGCCTAACTTCCTAAGTATATATTATACGGTAAAATTTATAATAAAACTTTTGAAAGGTAATTAAATGAGTACATAAACTTTAAAATTTGGTTACACGGTAAGATATAAAACTACGGTCAACCAACGCTGATTTTTATCCAATTTGTCAAAAACTGAGACAAATTACCATAAATGGCCCTGTAACTTGGAAATGAGTTCCCTAAGAGGAAAAATCCATAGAATCAAAGTTATAGAGCATCAAATCTACTGAGTACTGACACTTTTATTGTATACATATATTCTAAACCAAAAAGAGCAAAAAATGCATCCTTTTTGAGTTATTTACAAATAAAGTTTTGTATTTGTCAAAACTCCTTCTCTAGTCCTTTTTCGAGAATGTATGTAATATACATAAATTTATAGTGTTTCATGGGGAATACTTGAGGAGAGTTTTTATCAATACTGTTACAGCTGTTTTAGTGCTGTAGTCTGTAGACCAATTTTTCTGACGCCATCTTGAAACCAAGTGGCAGCTCGTGATGAGACCACCCAAAGGCATCTCTCCAACACCAACTTAACATATTTACAAAATTTCAACCTTTCAACTTTGTTAAGAGAATCTGTGGAGATGCGCAATATTTTAAAAACAGGGAAAAACATCTTACACGTTAAATTTTTCGAAAATTTAATAGTATTGTTTCACCTGAGAACAAACTCTATATACCAAATTTCAAATAGGAGCCGAAATGTAGTGGAAAAAATATATATATAAAACAGACATTTCTAAAAATCGTAGAATCGTAATCAAGGGGTTCCAAAATGGATAGAAACCGCAACCCCGCCCTTCCATTGAGGACTTTTGTTACAGTAAAAATAGCCTATTATTTCTGAAGAAAAATAGAGAAAAATGTACTGATAAAGAGAAATTAGAGAAACAATATAATTATGAAAAAAAAATTTAAGGTAAAGAAATGAAATATAAACCAACCTAGGAGGTCGAGGAGCAGGTGTGGGAACTTTCTTTGTAGTAATATCCTCACCTTCACTTTCACTGTAGACTATCGCTGCAATGAATAAAATAAAACAAATTGAATAATCAAAATTTACAATCACACAACAATAAAAGGTTCTGACCAGATTACACACCTTTAAAAGGTAGAAGTTTTATAAAGTTTCAATTTCAACAAACCTACAATCAGGTATTGAATTTAAATATTAATATTTTGGCCAAAATGAAATATCTTCCATGATTTTTTAAATAATAGTTAAAATTAATAGGTCTGACTTTTCAAAGGAAGTACATGTTTTGAGGTCTGTTAAGTCCAAATAACCAAGTCCCGCAAAATGGTGTGTAGATGTGTATGTATTTAACCAGTCTAGTGGATTTTAGGTTTCGAAAAACTCTATAACTTCTCTTGAGTTAAGATGGTTTAAAATTCATAAGTGCATTGTGTTCTCAACTTTTTTGTCTTACCTCTTCCATTTTGATAAATTGAATTTGAAAGCAAATTTATGAGAAGGTAATTCAGTAGTTCAATTGATTTTAAAATTCTATTAAATTTTCTTAGGAAAGATTTAATAAATCAATCGAATCACTTTTTAATTTTTTTTTTTTTTTTTTTGCATAGTGTGCTACCAGTGGGTAGTTTCTCAACAAGTCATTTCATGTTTTTATTTTCTGTTATCAAATTTACTTAATGTATTTAATTTTTTAATACAGTTGTAAATATCATGTATAAATAAATAAAAAAAAAAAAATTTTTTGCCAAACAAATATTAAGGGGAAATATGAACTACGTGATGGATATCTTTAAATAACTTAAACTAAGCTTAGTTTAATAAACCATCTTAAACGTAAACTATGTTCAGCTATAATGTTCAACTGGCTAAAACTTAAAACTCATTTTTTTTTTTTTTGGCAAAACGCAAAGCAGCCATGAAGACCAATTGTACGCCTTAAACTAAGCTTAGTTATAATAAACATAGGGCCGTGTATCATAACTCATTTCATATCTTCTGAATTTTGTTATATCGAAATAGTTTTAATAACATACTCTAATTCATAAAATATGAAGAGAACCCATACAGCAACCTATAAACAAATTAATAGAAAATATGAATAATAATATAATAATACCTTGAGCATTTGGATTTGGAGCAAGCGTCGAAGTTGTAATGGCATCTAGCCAAACGGACAGCTCAAAATTTGTCTCCGCAGCAAAGTAAAACATTGTCCCCGTGTGGTAAACTTTGAAGGCAAAAGGTCTACTCTTCACCTCTTCCGCTGGTGCAGCTGTAAAACCAGGCAAACAAACCAGTGTTTCTGCTTTTGTACTCTGAAAGGAATAAAATACATCAAAATGCTGTCAGAGAAAATTAATAAAATTCATGTGACGCAGTACACTTGTCAATGAACATATGGCAATATAATGTGGAAATAAGTAAATATTATGAGAGGGAGGAATCAATGAGGAATATTTTATTTCTTAGTTGCTTACAATGGTCTGATTTTGATCTATTTTACTTACCAATTGCCACAAGGTAAGAAAATATTACAATTGGTTCAAATTTCCGATATGAGGTTTTCAACTAATCTTTAAGCGGAGCCTACACGGTCATTCGGAATTGCATTCCGAGGCACTAATGACGTTCCGAATTATTGTGTAAGGTAGTGAATGAAGTACTGACGGTGGTGGGACTAAGATAAAAGTAGTGGGGAGACTTAACCATACTACTAGATAGGTTAGTTTACCTGGGCCTCACAACCATTATAAATTTCTGATTTTCATTATAAGTAAATATTTCAATAATTTTTCATATCCCTTGTTTATATTTTATAAACCATCTTCAAGTATTTCTTTTAAATAGTCAAGTGGGTAACAAATTAAAAAAAAAAAGTGGAAACTTCACAATTTACTTAAAGAAAAAAAAAATCTTTAACTGTTGTGTATATTTGTCAGTTCTTTTCCCATTTTCCTCAACAAATTTATTATTTTCGCAATACCTTTCCTTAATTTTTGTAAGTAGTAGACTTATATTTTACTAACTTTTGTCAAAACGATTTTCTATGAGACTAACCTTACTACTGGATAGGTTAGTTTACCTAGGTCTCTTTTTTAAGTAAATAATTTTATAAAAGTAAATAGTTTTTTATATCCCTAGTTTATATTTTTACTTACCATTTTCAACTATTTTTTCTTTAAATAGTCAAGTAGGCCATAAATTGATAAAAAAAAAAAAAAAAAGTGGAAACTTCACAATTTACTTATAGAAAAAAAATCTTTAACTGTTGTGTTTATTTGTCATTAATTTTTCCATTTTTCTTAACAAATTGATTATTTTCGCAATACTTTTCCTAAATTTTTGTAAGTAGTTGACTTATATTTTTCTAACTTTGGTCTAAACGATTTTCAAACACTAGGAAGTAATTATTACATCTCCATCTTCTTGATGCTCAATATTATAAATGACAATGTCCAAATAATCATATCTATACTATTTCTTTCTTTACAACTGAGCTAAATTGGTATCAGGAACAATAAGTAATGGTCAGTAATGATTGAACGTGTAAGGGTCTTTATGATCAAAACGATCCCGAGCAATCTTTGCCATTCTTGTGACGTTCATTCATGAATTATCGTGTAGGGTCCGCTATACAATTCATGGTATGTCTTAGGTTCAGTATTTATGATGAAGTACTGTTTCTAGACCAACAGTTGTACAAAAAGGTGATTCAGGTGAGGTAGGATGATCATACTCAGCTACCATTTTTACCTTATTTAATTGATTAATTAAGAATATCCACTTAATAAAACCTGAGGGTACCCTAGAAGGATCACCCGATCCCTATATCTATCTACAGCTACTGTAACAAAATAAATGAATAACTGCCGTGGCTGGACTCAAAGCTGGAGCATGGAGAATAGTCACAGTTTTGAAAGGATGATCCTACTAGTAATATTGAAACCTAAGTGTGAAGAGGGAGTATGGAAGACCTAAGAGCCAGTGGATGGACAACGGCAATCTAAGGAGTGCCATAAAAAAAACTCCCTAAAGCTGCAGATTTCCCACCTATTTAAAACACCATATTGTATTTTTAATGTAGGTTAACTTTCAAATATGTTTATCTGAATTTCCACTTTATTAATCTATACCGAAAAAATTAAAAGTTATGAAATGTCACTTGATGACTTTCTGCTATAAATTTATATTTTTATGTATTTGTTTTGTTTTTAAGATTGGTTTCAGCGGTACAATTACCCTTTACCCGTTCTTACTCCACTCTCTATCAATGTCTCTCTTCAGCTCTGTGATTGGACCGTTTGGAGGCTTCTTTGCTAGCGGTTTCAAAAGAGCGTTTAAAATTAAGGTGATGATTGAACGTGTAAGGGTCTTCATGATCAAAGCGATCCCGAGCAATCTTTGCCATTCTTGTGATGTTCATTCATGAATTACCGTGTAGGGTCCGCTTTACGTTTCAGAGCCATCTGAATCCGAAAAGCATATTTTAACCATTGGTCTGTCTGTCTGTACCAAGATTATCTCCAATAGTCCAATCTTGTTGCCTCCATTACCAAATTAATGGTTAATGTTAAATAAAGCTATTATATGTTACTATATGTTAATAAAGCTAATTGATATTGAAGTCTATGCAGAAAACACTTTATATGATCTGTATTTACATGACCACCTTTAATTGAGTATTTCATTACATTTTTTTGGTAAAAACTCAATCTCTTTAACCTTCACTGTAACTTACAGTTTTTTACCTCACAATTTGCTGTTTTTTTTTAAAAATAAATTACAGGTTTTCACAAAAGAGCGTAGAGAAGAAATGAAACATCGTAATTTCATTTTGTGAGACCAGAATATGCGTTAAGACAAAATTGAGCAGAAAAGCTTGAAAGCTCATTATCCTTAGAAATTGCTCTTACAGGCTTTTGCAGTGTAGTTCTCTCTATATATGATTAAATTGAAGCAACAAATTATTAAATAAATAATTAAATTTTAATTTTTCTATTGACCTCAAATAACATTCTACCTATATTTTGACAAATCTACAATATTATTAAACTTTTAACTTATATAAATTACCTGTTTGGAATGAAAGGTGTAGAGCGTGTTAGCGTGTATTAGGCACCAGCGCTTATTCCACGTAGCCGATCCTTTCCTACATCTTTGCAACAACCACCCTTCACATTCGACAGCACTGAATTCTTTAATAGTCACGTTTCTACCCTCTAGAAAAAAAAAAAAAAAATCAATTTAATTCTTAGAAAGTGTTTTTTTTTTTTTTTCAATAACACATAAATATAAAAATTATTTTATATATTTTTTGGTTGATTTTCTAAACAATCAACTTCTAAACAATAAGCTAACGATGAGGAGATAAAAATCAAAAAACTTTTTACTACTCGAGTAAACAATACTTTTTTAAAGTTAAAATTATTCTTTTTTATGATAAACAATCTTCTTTGGGTTATTCATATTTTACGTGAGTTTTTTATTAATTATTATATTTCATCTATTTATGATTATGTTTTTATAAAACCCGTTTTAATCTCACAGTCCTTTATTACAATAATTAGAAAAATATTACTTTTTAACATTTCGACTCCAAGAGCCATTTTCAAAAATTCTTTTTCTTTTAAAAAAACAAAACATTAGTAACATTAAGAAACCTTATTACTAAAAATGTTTCTTAAAATATATGGGTATATAGAATACAACTCAATGGTAGTAGTTGTTTTACTATACAATGTTTTGTTTTATTTTAATTTTTCTTCCGAATTTTCTCATTTTATCAAAACTTGATCCTTAATTTTGTTATTGTTTTATTTTGTTCAGGTGTAGTCTTTTAAGTATGTACTATTTTGTTATTCTAAAGGGACTTTGTCCCAGAATAAAGTTATTTTCTATTTCTATTTTTAATTTCTTTTCTCTCTTTATTATCCTCATTTTAACTTCACTGACTGAGCTTTATTCTAGACTGACGGGTATTAAAAATGGTTTTGATGTATAAATAATCATATATAGATTAAATACAATAAGTATTTAAAAAATCTCACAAAAAAAAAAAAAAATGAATAACCTAAAGAAGGTTGTTTATCATAACCCTTTTTCAATATCACAGCCTTTTTATTTTACGTTTAAAAATTTTTGTTTAACATTTCGGCTCCAAGGGCCATTTCCAAAAAATGTTTTTTCCTTTTTAAAAAACAAAACATTAGTCCTATAAAAAAATTATTTCTTAAAACATATATTTACATAAAATATTACTCAATGGTAGTAATTATTTTATTAATTATAAAATGTTTTGTTTTTAATTTTTCTTCCAATTTCAAAAAAATTGTTTTCTTCTCATTTTATCACAAACTTCATCCTGTAATTTAACAACTCCTTTATAATGTAATAATTTAAAAAAAACTTTTATCAATCCAAAAACAATAATTCATTTAACAATTCTTTTTTTTGTAAAATTAGGAAGTAATGAAGTAACAGTAACAAAGATGGTACTTAAGTACTTTATAAGTTTCAGCTTTGTTACTGTTACTTTATAACTACCTAAATTTATGTAACAGATATTTTCCAATCCATATATTTATTAGTTTTCAGTTTTGGTACTTTTCGTCTAGAGGTCCGTTTTGAAACCTCACTTCATAACTATCTTATCTAACGTCACGTCACATAACCTCTCTCTTCTTATCCCACCAAACTTTTGAGTTATTGCATTGTTTAGTTTTCAGTTATTGCCTTATTACGTTCACTTATTAAATTGTTTACTTTTGGCCCGTTTGTGTTTATTTTCATTATTTTTTTTAGTTTTTGGCCCGTTTGTGTTTATTTTACATATTTATTTAGTTTGTGACCCCTTTGTGTTTTGCTGACGTGAAATTGTGTGAACGAGGTCATCTAATGAAGTTAACCAAGAAGGGTCAAATGGAGATGCTTTCACAAGACTTGTGACACAAAACTTTCAATAAGGAAAGGAACATGGTTGGAGGGCTCGAGAATTTCTTTTTTATCAGCTTTAAAATTGATTTATTGGTGGTCCCATAGGTTGACAACGATGAATAAAGTACACAGAGGAACACCTTGATTCATATTTGTGCGAATTTTTGTGGCGGCGGGCTCACAGTGAAGAGGACCTGTTCCTCGCTACTTTAAATAGCATAAAACAATTTTGCCTTCCATAATAAATAAGACAAAAGGAAGTGAATAATTAACTGAAAATAATTTGTACATATGTTGTTTATAGTGTTTATATTTTTTCTTTTCTATGTAAATATGTTCTTTTAAATGTGTTTTATTATTATTTCATTTTGATGTTTTATAAGTACATATCTTCATAAAGTGTTTTTTAATATATGTGTCGTCAAATAAAAGTATTTTTTTTTTTGTTATTGCATATGTTTTCGTATCTGCTAACACTTTCAATAATACAAATTTAATACAATAATACGAAGATATGAAGTATGAGAAGGCTTATCACTGCGTTATGGGAGTTATCAGTGTTCAGGTTATAAACATTGGCAGATAGCAGTCAGGAGCGGCCCCCTGGACAAAAAGTACCTCAGTTTTTTTTTTTTTTTTTTTTTTTCCCTAGCAGAAGGATGCAACGTGGCCTCATTGAGAATTATTGTGCGCTGTCCTAAACTCTGTTAAAACAGGCTGGATGCCTTTGCTTATATATGAAGACTAATAGGATTTAATACAAATAACGAAAAAAATAAAATAAATATAAAGATAAAGAAAAACATAAATATAATTTATTTTTGTGTACTTCTAATTATTAACCTTCAAAACAGTAAATGAAAATTTAACTCTATAAATTAAAATAGGATAATTAATATTTCTACTTACTCGCGAGGGATGGATGCTTCTTCCTTTGTGCCTTTGGAGAGGCCTTTCCGAGCGCCCTGGCAGCTATGATGGCAGCCCTGTAGCAGGCGTTGGACGGCTTGTTGAGGCTCGGCCGTGGAGGTGGTACCGGGGGACTAGCTCCTCTGTCGAGGGAGTCCCTGTTGTGACTCCTGTCTTGCTGAAGGGAGCCGTACTTGAACGCTGTCACCTCCGGGTCTCCTCTGTCGCCGTAGGCCTTATCTAAACTTTCACTACTGTAACTTTTATTATAAAAAATACTCTGCTGTTTCATTTTCATGAACTGTTTCTGTTCTGCTGCAGTAGGCGTAGTTATTTTACTTCGACTAAGAACAATTTTTTCGCTACTGTCTAGGATCACTTTCGAGATAGTCTGAGAGAGATCCGAATCGCTTTCTACCTTCCCCCTAGTCGGTAAGGAATGTGTCATTTTTCGTTCATAGTTTTCCACCTTAGATTTTCCATGTAGAGGTAAGGAGTTGCTTGAACTGTTGTTCTGTTTCGGTTTATAGCATGGATAATCGTGAATATCAGAATCGTCGCTAAGTTTATTCATAAGTAGGTGCCTGTTAATAGTCTGTACAATTTTACCATGTTCTTCACTGTCAGTAGCGACAACATCTGGAACTTCATATCTGAGTTTTTCATTATGTATTTCATTAGCAAAGTTATCTACTTTTATGTTCTTCTCTATTTCATTTCTTTTTTCAGACAGCTGTAAAATATCTTTAGATTCCCTTTTATCTAAGTTATTCACTGTTCTTAAAAGATTGTTCCTTTTGTTCTCCAAGCAAAAGTTAGGAATGGCTACACGGTTTGGGGTAGGCTTTTCACTGAGTTTCGCGACTTCGGATATAACTTTCATGTCGAAGATGGGTTCGCTGTTGATTCTGATTTGCGGTTTTATGGGATGCGTCGATGGGGGTGTGACCTTTTTCCTTTCTGTCCTCTCATTTTCTCTTGAAAACATTTCTATTTTTTGCTTGATGGTCATCGTTTCAAGATTGGATTCCGGCTGCTGTTGCTCTGATGGTGGAGTTGGCGCCTCTGTTTGTCTAGCTGACGAAGACAGTCTTTCCTCAAAGTCAACTACGCTTGTTGTACTCTGCTTTGTAGAACTTTCTTTTTCTAGCTTCATTTCATGCCATAACTAATAGGAAAACTAAAATTAGAACAATATAACATTCTTAAAAGTTATAATAAATAAATATTAATTAAATAGTTTGACTTTAAAGACAAAGAGGGTGAGAAATAGCCACTAACAATGTAATCTTTAACAATTAAAAATACAGTTCAACCTCATCATATTGAAAATTTCTCTATTAATATTACTTTTAAACTTAAATTATATTTTATACAGTAAACCATCACTAAACTTCTGGTTGAAGAAAACCAAAATTGAAACCCTTATAAAAATTGATTGATTTTCCTACATCTACATTTTAGTGAACTAATTCTGTTTGTACAAAGTACGAAATATTTCTTGAACCCAAAGAGAAATATAACTTTGTTACAACAAATATTCCAACAAAGCTATATTATAAATAACCTTCCGTTCCTCATTGCATTGTCAGAGTGTGGGAGGACCTAACATTGCAATCTTATCAAGTATATAACTTAATAACTATTTATCACCACCTATTTATTTAAATTAGCCACCTTGATAATTGTTTAATAAGAATGCCTCGTTGATTACTTGAACACTCAGAATGTTATTTGTTTCTCCCTGTCCCAGCTGGAATTTAAGAAACCCTACTATCATAAAAGTCATAAAGATATTCCACTTATTCGTAAAGTTTACTAATCAGAATTCATCAGTTCAGTTTCATATAACTCGAGATAATGAAACGTCCAGTACCAATGTTTTTAGTATTTTCTTATTTGGTTAAAAATGTGAATAAAATAAGACAAGATTAATTAGACTATGATAATATTTTAAAATTATTCATAGTGAAGTTATTATAACCTATTAGAACTCTTCAGTCCTTTCAACAACTACATACAAGGAAGAGATTTCATAGGCTAGTCAGCGGGATTCAATATAAGATTAATTCAAAATGAATCAGTCTGCTTTCTATGAATAATATAAAGTATACATTTTTTGTCAACAAGTCTTTTACAAAGTACACAAATTTAAAATTGTATAGACCTCCCTTCTCAACTGTATTGTAACCATAGAAACGTCATTAAATAAATACCTCATGAATATCAAACGGTGGGCGCTTGCTGAGTGGACTCGCTCCAGTGATGGTGGCTCTCCGATGAACAGGCTTGCTCGGAACGACAAGATTGTGCTGGACGGTGACGACCTCATCATCTGAGCTTGTTTCACCTCTTCCGCCCTCCTCTTCATCTCTTTTCTTCGTCTCTTTCTTCTTTTCATTGGAAATAGGAATCTTCAAACTAAGAATTGATTGTAAATTTTAAAAAAATATATTAATTATTAATTAAATTTATAATAATAGGATTTATTAAAAATTATGATATATATTGAACATTATTTATTTTTATTAATTACAAAAAAATATATAAAAGTTTCGTGTCTGAATTTGCTGTTTGCAAAATGCATTGATTCCGGTAGGAGTCAAGTTAGAAGTTCTCTCGACCGCCGCCTTAAAGTCATAGGGGTGGGGTGTACGATTTTGAGGAAGAATTAAGTGAATAATGGGTTCAAGTAGTAAGTCTCTAGTAGAAGTTTTTATAAACATGGAATTATCTGCCGCAGTGACGAGCGGGGTGGACGAGTGGGCTAACGCCTGTGCACAACACCGCATGTTGCCCGATAACCTGATGTCAGAAGTCAGATGGAAAACAATTACGAGTTCAAATCCCGGTACCCGGTGGGAATAGTATCTGCTGCAGTATCTGACCGTTGGGATGTACAAGTTCTTGTGTATCAAGTCACGCACATAGAATATAGAATAGTGTGTATGCAATTTTTCTCTAAAATTTTGAATTGATAAGTTTTAATTTTGAAAATTTTAATAATTTTGGCAGTGCTCCAAAGCTAAGTCCATAAAAGTTTTAAAGTTAATTTGTAGATGGTAAGTTTGTTAGTTGAGGATAATTTGGAGCGTCTGTCAAGTAAACTAATTAGTCCAAATCTTTTGTTGTTCAGTTGTTTCATGTCCACACGTGTTCTTCAATAATATTCCTATTCCTACATCAGAAGAAGTGCGTTATTTGGGACATCATCTGGACAAGAAGAACACACAATACACTGAAAAGAAAACAACCGAACAAGGGATATTGAACATTACTTAAAAATTAACATAATTAATAAATTTAATGCTCAACCGACCTAATAGAGACACAATTTAAACTGTTTATACAAAATATTTAAATATTGTTTTTACATATTATTCTAATTTTAATTAAAGTTAAATATAGTAATTTTGTTGATATTAATTTAAAATTGATTGTTTACTACATTGATATTGTATTATGATGTAGAGATGGTTGACCGTAGATATAATATGAGAAGGAGTTGATTGGGGGGTGCGGTTAAATAAACGTTGGCAAAAATTAAATATATTTGTTTAATTTAGTATTTATTTGACAACACCACCCGATCAACTCCTCCTGATATAATGACTTTATTTTTATGAAATTTACAAAAAGGAAGGGGGCTCTAGATAATTGGAGAATCAGTTGCAAGATTTCGACCAATGAGATTCAAGGAAATTGTTAAGTCACCTAGAACCAGATTGGTGGCCCAGGAGAGTATTGCTTTAGTTTGTTAGCAATTATCTGTACATAGTATCAGTGAATTTATTTCAGGTATGCAGCGATTTTGCAGGTGTAAAATTTACTTTTAAGTGATAATCATAATTTGATAAAATTAAAAATTAAAATAGTTAGAATGTCAAAAGTTGTAAAAATAAGGAAAGGTAAGCAGATTTTTTTTGACCAATGAGATTCAAGGAACAAGTCTAGAAACCTTGCCAAGCTTACAGTCCAATTAATTTTTTAATTGCTATATACATGTGAATCAAAGAAAAAATGGTTTAATATTTTCAAAAAGATAAAAAATAAAAAAAATATTTATATCTATATTTTAGACTCCAAAAACTTCATATTTTTCTTTTTTTTCTTTAATGGCCTAGACAATGATGTATGAAATCTCTAATCAGCCACTATTCCATTTCAAAATGACAAGTGAAAACATTCTTCCTACAGGTACTATTTTGCTGAATCTGCTCACTGGGGTTGTTATAACCTGCCTATAACCTTCGAACATTTCGCTGTATCTTCGAAGATAAAAAGATGGACATCCTATAATAATAAAAATGAACATCCTATAATCTTATAATAATGAACATCTCTGACTACCGCTTTTTTATTTGAGGAGGAAAAAGAAGAGAAAATGTTGTTCATAAAGAGAAGGAATATCAGTATTTCGATGAGATGCTCGCTCATCATCAAATCCCTTCTTGGACATTGTTTGCTATTGTCTAGATGAACAACCAAAAATTGAGGAACATCCAAAAAAGAACAAAAGGCGGGAAACGCCATACTAACGTAATAGTAATTAAAACAATTGATTAGTAATAAATATATATTTGTAATTAAATCACAGCAGGCAATGTTTTATAGTTTTATCAATCATAATCAGTAAATCACCACTTTAATTAAAAAATACAAATAGATTTTTCAATGGGTGGATTTTAGTATTTACATGACGATAAAATTTGTTGGATTCTTTAATTTATTTAATATCGGTTGGATTTAGGTATATTTGTATTTTGTTGTAAAATAAATAAATAATCTTGTTACTTCAACCTTAAAAAAATAATTTACAATTGCATTGTTTCAGTTTTAAACAATATTTGTTATAATATTGCCAGACTTGAAAGAAACATAGGAAATAAAACGTACCGACGTGTCTGTTATCATCAAAACAATGCTCTGATATGATAACTACAACCGCCAACAGCTCCACTGCTTCAGGAGCGGTCAGATAGGAGCAGCTTAGATATGACGTCATACCTAGACTGCCGAGCAGCGCCAGCGAAATAGGTTCCTTTCGATTCTACTAAAGCAGTGGTCAACCGTAAGCGAAATAGTACCTTAAGGTTATCTGTGACTGGTATTAAATCTATATAAAAATTGAACAATCGCCAAAAAAAAAGACCCAAATAAAAACTCAAAATGGACAGTAGTTTAGTAGAATTTTAGATTATGCATTCCTTTATTATTTAAAATAATAATTGAAAATCAATACATTTGTAATAAATTTTACGTTGAATAAAAATGAAACATTTACAAAAAAGAAAAATGTAATGTTTCGGTTAGAATGAACTCTAACAAGAAGATTCTTCTATTCTTTAAACTGCTTTTGGCACTTTCTTTTTCCTTGAACCAGAAGTTATTAAGGGCTTAGAGCATACAACCCCGTGTTCATCAACGCCTATCTAATGTTCATTTCAATAATGAATTATAATGGGAAAGGGGAAAAAAAAAATCTGGTGTGTCCACTCACACGACTTTCCTACCTATTTCAGAAAAGTTTTTATATCTTTACATATTTTCATGAAGAAACAAAAAAGAATTGAACTAGATAAATTTTCCTGAAAATTTATCTAACATAAGATTTGAGTACGATTTATTTGATAAACTAAAGCAATGTAAACCGGCTTAAGGTAGTTAATTTCTGTTAAATGTAGAGGAAATAGTGAAGATTGTGTGATGCGGGCAATAGATTTTCTTACATTCACTTAGTCATCTTTATTCTCTCATTCACCCCTTTCTGACACCAGGATATGAAAACATAATCTTACATTGGAAATTGAATAGCCGTAACTTCGTTAATAGTTGTCCAAAATGAACAATTTTTATATGGCTTTGTAAGGAATTTCATTACAATTCAAATGACAGGCTGTTTTTCGGACTCAGGGTGCTCTGAAAAGTATAGATCCGTCGAAAACCGCAGGTCGGAAATTTGACCCGATTGCAATACTTTCCTTACCTAGTATAGGTAGGAAAGTAAAAACACTCAAGCTTAGATTTTGTTTGTAAATCATTAGTTTTCAGAAAATTTATCAACGACCTTCCTTGAACTTTATTATAATTTTAAACAACTGATAATTTTGGTATGCGTCCTAATTTGGTTAGAATTGATTTGATGGTAATAAGGACACTCTTGGAGAATGTGGCTAACCTTGGGAATACCGTCGCAGTGTTGGCATTTTGGTCATGAGTTAAGAATGCAGTAAGGTTTGTTTGTTTGTTTATTTAGGCTTTAAGGCGTAAAACCCTAGGGTCATCAACACCTGTGAGTAGGGTTATATTTGTAAACTCTTTAGAGGAGAATTAATAACTATTTATAGATAGAGTAATAAATGAAAAAGATATTTAAAAACATATAAAAAATGAAATATTATGTAGTAGACATCCCCCTCTATTTATTCCTTTAGGTGAAATTGTGTGAGGGAATGAGAAGGAATATATAATACATAGGAATGTGAGGTTGCACTGTGAATTGTACTCAATTATGCAGTGAACAAATTATTCATGGAAAAGTCTCATATCGATGAACAATCGATGAAGAAGGACGCTGGAAAAAGGTCAGAGCAGGTAGCTAGCAACAGCTGGCAGAAGGACGCCGAAAAAGGCACTTGAGGCAGGGACATGGAGGCAAGAAGACGTCATCTGGGAAGAGAGGCTTACTACATTGAAGACTAAGAATATCAAGCCTACAGTTATAAGACTTTTATACATTAATTTATTACAGTTGTTAAAATAAATTGTTTTATTATACTGGAGTGAAATGTCATTTTATTTAGTTGTCCTATATGCCTCACAATTGAAGAATAACAAACCAGATGAGTCAATTCATTCAAAGTGTATTTACTCAGTCCCACATTTCACGTATATATGTATTCTTATTGTTTCTTCTCACACAGTGTCACAAAAGGTATTAGGTTCCCGAATTCCCAACAACAGTTAAACACCCTCAAAAAGTCTATATCCAGGGCCGGGGTTTTGTATTAATAATCACAAGTGTAAATAACCTAGTTCCCCCATAAAAAGTGGAAGGCTATTCGCTATTCCCGCCAAAATAAATCATTTAACAATTAACTTTATTTGGTTATTTACAATATTAAAATAAATATAAAAAAATAGCTTGTAGCTTCACTTAGAAATAATCTAGCTTGCACTAAAAATAAACTATAATTGTTATAACAAGGGGGTTACCAAAATTGGATCTCGCTCCATCCTAAAATTTACCTCGGTACAGCTCTGTATATATAGTGTAGATTAAAACGAAAAATTCAAAATTTTTGCTTTAAGAAAGAAAAAAAAAATGAGTATAATTTCAATTATTTTTCCTACAAAAATCTGCCTAAAAATGTCAAATATCTATGGTAGCCTATTGAAAACTAACCTGTGAATAGGAATACGGTAGTGAATCCTAGATAAAATGTCAGCAGTATGAGCCTGGTGGATGGCCCTTTTCTTAGACGGCAGCCGATATGGTTTGACGTAAATCTGCCCATAAATTTTTGTATGACGAGGTCGCTTCTTCAATGTGAGCAAAACTTCTGTAGGGGATTCGGCAAATAGGCTCATAACTTCTTTAACTGACCATCCAACCTGGAAAAAAAGGAGTTAAATTTCAGATTCTGGAACTGTGATGTTGATATTTAATACTTGTATAATAATATTAAGAATACATATTGAACATGGATTTATTATTTGGTATCCAAAAATAAACGAAAATATATCATATTATTCTGGGACTTTTGTCCCTTTAGAACAATTTATAAGTACAGAAGACATGTATGTGTGGTCATAAATAAATTAAATATTTAAAATAATAGTTAATTAAAAGTGAAAATACATAAGAGAGAAAAAAAGAAAAGAAAAGCGTACATATACATAAAACAAACATAAGAAACTAAAAAAACACAAATAGTCTCCTGGGGGACTTAGATAGTTCCCTTAGGATGGCGGTTCACAGTTAGGTATAGACTTTTTTTTTTTGTTCTATTTATTAATGTGTATTATTCATCTTTTATATAGAGACCTTAAGACATTTTAATTTTAGAGTAGTGCCATTTGGTTTTTGTAATTTATCATACCTTATAACTCATTTAATACTATAGTCTATATTTTTTTTACTTTCACTTACTTATATATTTAATATATAATAAGGCTTTTCAATTCTGAGTATTAAACAGAAATACACTTTTTGAGATCCCTTGAGGCCAAATCCCACAAAATGGTCTGTGTATAAACAGCCTAGCTCAAAAGTTAAAAGCCGTAAGAAACTGATATTGTGTATTTAGGGTTTTTACATGCCTGGGATGATACATCAACTTTTTTGTCAAAATCGGAAAACCGGAAGTGATACTTTATAACATCGATTAAACACATTTTTGTGATATTCTCAAAAATGGCTCAAATTTGTATTAAACTCACAAGGTCAGTATATTATTAAGTGCCTTTAATTTAATATAGGTTTTATTCTCATTGATGCAACCTGACTGGAATTAAATGCCGATTTTTCAGTATGTCTTTCTCTAGAGAAAAACACAAAACATTAGACACCATAGCATATTTTACATGAAAAATTCTTTCTTTATGTCTATTTCATATATATGTTGTAAAATAAAAGTGTTTTGTTATTGTCGTTGGAATTGTTACATTTGTTTTTGTCTATCTCAATTTACATAAATATAAAATTTGTTTTTGTCTATTTCATATACACTGACAGGCAAAAAATTCCACCCACTTGTTACCTATTAAGGAACCACGTTGGAAAGATTGGCTCTGGGAAAAATTACAGGCTGCATATCTTTTGTTTCTTCTTCTCCACACCCTTTCTCCCCCATCTGGAGATCGAAGAGCGAATCTTGACTCATCTGTAAAAAGTACAGCACTCCATTCGTCCATAGTCCAATAGCTGTGTTCTCGAGCAAAAGCCAGCCTTGTTACTCTGTGAGTTCTGGTCAACTCTGGTCCTCTTACTGGACGAAAAGCCATTAATCCATACTCATTTAATCTTCTCCGACCGGTACGTTCAGAAATTTGCACACCTCGAACTTCTTCGAGCTGATGAATCGTTTGAACAACGGTAAGATGACGGTTTCGTAAAATTCTCAGTCAAAAACCGGTCATCCCGTGGTTGTTACCCTAGGCCGTCCAGAACTGGGCCTTCTATTGTAAGGACCAGTTTCCCGAAAACGCCTGATGGCGTCTCGTAAAGTTTCAAGGAACTACAATGGCATTAGCTGCATATCTAATGGAACGTGCATCATCAATAAGTACCACACCACGCGCAACATCCTCAGCACTAAGAGGCATTTTTAAACTTAATATTGAAAAAATTAAAAGCCGGAGACTAAGAAATGTGCTGCAAGAAACGGCACTGAACTACTGATACTGAATAAACATTTTGATTCCATAGAAAGTAAACATTGGAATCTAGAATCATTTCATTGAATTAAGGATTAAGGGTTATTGTCCTCTATATTAACATTCCTAATTGAAAACAAACAAAAAGATTACCTATTTATTCATTAAAAACAATAGACCAATCCAAAGCAGAAATATTTTTAGATGAAAACATGAAAAAATCAAGTGGGTGGAAATTTTGCCTGTCAGTGTATATGTTGCAAAATTAGTCTTTTTTTTTTATAATTAAATTTATTTTTGTGTTTTTGAATTCACATAAATATAACATTTGATTTAATCTATTTCAATTTCCATAAATATAAATACGAAGATAGGGATTATCAGTGTTCAGGTTATAAACATTGGCAGGTAGCAGTTAATCAAGACCGGATTCTAGACAAGTACCTTTTTTTTTTTATTTTGTAATTTAATATGATCAAAGCTTGTGTACACTTCTGCAGTTCATCATCAGCAGTTAGGGTCTATAAGAATTAAGAACAAAAGTCTCATTTACACACCAATTAAACCTAAGTATTTAACTTTCCAGCAGGCGCGCGGGCACACGGAATGCACCAGCCTACGTTTTCAGGCTGTCAAATCTCTCAAGGTGTACGGATGTTGTGGTCATCGATCACAGGTATTCGTTTATTTAACCCTTATTGTGCTTGTGCTACCCTTTTAGCTGTAGCTGACCTGACTCTTGCGACGGCCAGTAATTTTTACTTTTTCAAATTGATTGGAAAACTCTTGTGGCACATTCCATGCGCCTACTCATGTTTTACTTTTAGCTTTTTTTTTATATTTTCAGTGTTTGTGGTTGAATTGAAGATTTTAAAATGTCATGTGTGTGGCAGGAAAAAGAATATTAACACTACAAAAACATGTTCCAAGTTCAATAAATACACTTATAAAGCCCATGTTATAGTTGAGCCTATATGCATTTCATGTCATCACCAAGACAAATCTAATAACAATTGATTTCTTGCTTTGTAATCAAACTTATGTTTTTCTTTATCAAGTATACATAACTTATATTTTTTATTTACCACATATATATATTTATTGATGAACAAAGGCCTCTCACATGGAACTCTCTCAGAACTTTTCAATATGGAAAGTTGGATGCATTTATCAAATGTTTGCTTTTTCAACTTGCCCATCTTAGGAAAGCCTACGATGTCGGCATATCAGGTAGATCCATCTGTATCAATGCAATATGCTTTCTTGAAACAGACATAATTTCTCTCTCTAAGGATTCTCATCAATTCATGGTTTACTCTTTAATGACAGAGCGTTATAAGGAGATGTTGGTGACATTTTCCAAGCACATGTGGTGGTATTTCAGGATCTCTCCTGCATTTGTGACAGAGGGACCCAACTTCTCTTACCTGTCCGCTGACATCTGGGACTCTATGCAAGGGTGTATAATCGATATTAAGTTTCAGGGCATTTGAACATCCAGACCCAGAAAGTACTTGCTTTTCATACATGTATTTATTCGCTTTCAGGGTCCCTTTAAAATGGCAAACTCCAATGCCCTGGCACTTCCAATTGGCCCATTCCTCAAACAAATTTTCTCGTAACGACTGCTGTAGAGCTCTCATATTCCAATTACTCTGATCAATCCCTAATCTCTCGGCACATTCAGCCACCTCAGGCGAATAACCAAAAATCGATTGGAAAAGGGCATCGGGCACATTGGACACTCGCTGAGCATTGGACCAATGTTATACTGTAGAGGAGCCTCCCATTGACAGCGGATTAATCCTAATCCTCAGTACCTACTGGGAGCATATAAATGCGAATGTCGATGCGATCTAAATTTTAAGGCTCTAGAGATTTTGAGATCCTTATAAAAAATAAATACACTGAAAATAAATATATCTCTAATATTTTTATGTTGATCAGAAGTATTACTTGCTAGTTTAAAATTATAATAAATAAATTTTTTTATAAAAGCCAAATCAACGAATATACTTACCACAGTCTGGTAATTTATCTGAATAATTTCATCACCAGGTTCAATTTTGCCACTCTGATGAGCTGCGCTGTTCAATTTGATATCGCTAATTTTATGAATACCTCGGAACGGTGGAACAATATAAAAACCCTATGACAAAAAATAAATATAAACGTTTAAAATAGATATTAATAAAAAATAATTAATGATTTAATAATCTAAAGTCAATCCAAACCAAGTTAATTACGCTGGATATCTTTCATTACAACATTAGATATAATAAGGTATCGTGTGATTAGCCCAGTAGTAGTATAGTGTTGCCCAAAATCGATCTTGGTCTTGCACTTTGCAAGACAAAGACCAAGACTGGTAAAAAAAAATGGATTTTTAAAAAAAAAATTAAGGCGAGACAGTTACTAATATCTGAAAATTTTAGTTACTATATGTAAAGAATTGGTATAACCAACATACTTTTGCATTTAACTTTTCTAATTTTTCGTTCGGGCTTAGTTAGGTTTCTCTTATCTAAAAAATTACAGTAATATTTCTGTTGTAATAAACTAACAGGTAACTGCAAGACTCTTGTACAAGACCAAGACCAAGAGTTTTCTCACACTTGGGCAACATTAAGTGTTATTCTTTAAGCCTCAGCAATTTTTAGTATTTAATAATTTTTAATGGAAAAATCAATTCCAATTAATGAATCTTTTAAATGACACATCAAACAAAAAAAGATCGGTTTTATTAACAACACTGCAGGGACCAATAAGAAGCCCTTGCAAATAAGAACCTTCATTTTTCTTGTATTTCAAGCCCATATTTTGAAGGGTGGAAGCATTCTTTTATATTCTGCTAAGAGTATACTGTTCACTCTGTAGAAGAGTCATATTTGCAGCCATTTTTATTTCTTATTTCTATTTTACATTTACATATCCCAGTCCGCTGGTGTTCCTCAAGGTAGTATTCTAGGTCCTATCCTCTATACAGTTTATACAGCTGACATCTCTACCTATCCCAACACTGTCATCACCACGTATGGGGTGATGACACATGTATCCTATCAGTAAATAATGACCCATCAATTGCATCCCAAATGCTTCAATCACATATCATAAATCTTGAAGAATGGTGTCAACTGGAGAATTAAAATAAACTCCAATAAATCCCACCAAATTACCTTTACTCTTCGTTGTAAACCAATGACTTCCTGTCCTACAGTTTCCTTTAACAATACTCTACTTATCCCTGTTGAGCAAATCCGATACCTAGGACTCCCCCTGGACAAACGACTAACTTGGAATCCGCACACTAGACTGAAACGACAAGAAACCGCTCGACGTTTCCGATTATTTCAGCACTTACTAGACAAACGCTCTAAACTTCCAATTAATTACAAAAGACTCATATACTTCACTATAATAAGGCCTATTTGGACTTTTGGAGTTGAGCTATGGGGCTCCACTAAACCATCAAATTCCTCTCGTATCCAATCCTTACAATTCAAAATCCTTCGTAAAATCCTCAATGCTCCCTACTTTGTTACAAATAAAACCATCCATAATGACCTTAATGTTTCTTATGTGTCAGATCTGGCCTAATCTAGATAACTATCCTTTCATAATAAACTTCAGAACCATCCCAACCCTCTAGTTTCTAATCTTGCTTCCTGTTCAATTCCTGATAACCCTCCGACGCGTCTGAAAAGAAGATGGCCCCGTGATCTCCTATTGTAGACATATCATTGGAGTGCTACCATTGGGTAGTTACTCAGCAAGTGTTGTCATGTCATTATATCCATTATGATCAAATTTACTAGATGTGTTTATTTAATACAGTAGTAAATATCATTAAGAAATAATAAAAAAAAAAAAAAATTTATATACTACAGTAGGGAGTGGAGTAGCTCAGTGGTAGGGCACTGAACTTCCAATGCAAAGGTCCCAGGGTCGAACCCCGGCTCAAGGCAGAAAATTTATTTATCTGTTTCATTGGCCGTGAGGCGACTCTGGGTCGGTAGACCCTCCTGGGGCACACCCAGCCTCTATAAAGTGGGTACCCTTAATTAAATAATTGATTAAGGGAGAAAACTATTTATTTATGCCTCCCTTCCTTGCCTTTCGGCTACACGGGATTTTGCAGGGATGGCATATCACACACGTGCATGCCATTCCTGCTATTAAACCACAAATTAATTTTCCATTTTGTTTTGTTTTTTCAAATATCTTCTTTTTTTTTTTCCTTATTTTCAATATATTACTCTGGTATCCTTCTATTAGCAGGTTCTCTTCCTAGATTAAAGTGGGAGGGTCCCAGAGCAGCTTTCCACCCGTACACAAAATCTTTGTAATACGGGTAGTTCTGCTCCGTTACTAACTCAGGAAATTCATCTTCCGTGAGGCCATAGATTCCCATTTTTCTTATCATTTCGGCCCTTAGTCCATCAAAATTTATTTATCTGTTTCATTGGCCGTGAGGCGACTCTGGGTCGGTAGACCCTCCTGGGGCACACCCAGCCTCTATAAAGTGGGTACCCTTAATTAAATAATTGATTAAGGGGGAAAACTAGGCGGTTGAGCGTGATCTCGGTCAAATCACCTCCTTGCACAACCATTGACCTAGAAACAGTGCTTTCTCTAAATAGTACTGAACCCCAGACCCTTCATGGGTTGTAGTGGTACAAATATACCACAGTGGAATGTCGAATGTTATGAAATGTTTCATAGGATTCATGTTTGAAGATGACATTCTCTTGGATGACCCCACATCACCAGTTAGTCAATAATTCTAAGGTGACTATATTTTCTAATCCTTCAAAACCAAAAAGCTTTTTTACATTTTTAATTTGCCCACTCCTTGTTCCTCTATCCACTCTTTAAACCTGAAATCCCAGCCCATAAACCTGTATTTTCCTTCTAATAAAACTTAAAAAAAAAAAAAAAAAAAATACTGATCATGCATACTATCTTGTTTTGAAATTCTTTAGATTGGTACCTCCATTCTCAAAACATCTTGTTTAACTTCGTTAAAGAAACAAATTATTTTTCTATCTCTTCTGCATTATCAACTGTGAATATGCGAGAATAAAGTAGTTTTTTATATTAATGTAACCTGTTAATTAGCTCACGGTTATTACATATATTATTTACTGGTACATATATGTAAACACACCAACATATATCTATCTATAATTTCATTATCTTCATTTGTTTACTTACATTTGCCTTCATTTTTATTTTATTAATATCATATAATACCAGACTCAAATAATAATGCTTATTTTGATTATTTCTAGCAGACTAGTAGACCCAGAATTATCTTTATTTTTACATAATGTATATATAGTATGATTCGTTCTTACGACTATCAGCTATTAAACAACCCCTTAAGCCTGATCCCTCGGAGTTTCTAACAAACGACATCCAGAGTAGTTTTTTCTTGATAACTAAAAATATAATCATTAATTCTCTACTATAAAAGGTGATAAATAACTGATTGATATTTTATCAAATCAGTCATTACATTTAATCATATAAACAATTACATGTATCAAGAAATAATTTATCGGTGATACATTTTAACTGACTTTACTATAATAAGTTGTTTATTTACTTAAATACATAAATAATATAATTAGTTGTTTTGAGATATTACCAAATCATCCGAAGACCTTTTCTTGATAGTCGCTAAGTCAAGGGAGGCAGGCTGAAGGATGAGAGGATCCGACATGTCCTGCACAATGTTGTCTGCCAACTTCGCTAACTGAGCAGAAGCTGTCTTCATATCGGAAACAGGAGTCTCGACAAACCTATCACGCTGACCGCAAGTGGCCATCCGTAAGGCCAACCGCAATACTTCCTTACGAGCATTTTCATATTCTGATTCTCCGCAGAAACCTGGCCTGAAAAAAATAATTAATAACTGATTAGCACAATTTTCATTAATAATTTTTATTAAATCAAATCAGGTGTCTTATAAACCTCTTTTGCTAGCAGGACAAATCTGCACATTCACCAAGTTCTACGGAGCATGATTAGTGATAGTAATCAAAATATTCATACATTGAAGTAAAAAAGGTATGTGTAACTGTTACATCATTACAAAAATATCACAAAAAAAATTATGATTTACTCAGAATAGTATGTAGTAAAATATCTTGGCAGACGACACCTACAAGGAATCTAATGTTACATGGTACTAAGTATTTCTATTCTATTCTATTCTTTAAGTAAAACATGGCAAAAAATGAAAATAATCAGAATAAATTATATTTTATGTCATATAAATGTAAAATGATAATAAATTGTCAAAATCCATCACTAAAGTGTTAAAATAATTTTTGCCCCGGTCTGATATGGAACAGTAAGGAGGGGGAACTGTCGCCCTTATAAGAGAAAGCCGAAAATGTTTAGAAGTCAAATGTGGTGCTTTCGAACACTCATTAAAATGAGACTTCGATGACAGAAATGGTGATACATGTATGAAATATTGTTTACCTATAAAATTTTATTTATTTTTAATTAACCAGTAAAATTTAACAAATGAAAATCGGATAAGAACATTGAGCTTTTTTTTTATTATTTTCCCATATGCAACTCACTCCTGAAGGACCGTTCCTACCGATTCACCTTGTATAGGTAAGTGAAATTAATGATGAAACTAATTCACAAAAATATAGTTTTAGAGCTTACCTGTCCAACCAAGCTATTAAAGGCTTAACGACGGTGACAATCGTAGAAATATCAGCTATGATCTGCGTGGACAGCTGCTGGGTATCGGTGTGACTGTGGCAAAGTTCGTTGTGAAGGCTGTGTGCAAGGCAAGACAACCTCATAGCATGTAATTGTAGGTTTTCTCGATCTAGTTCATAATGCTGTAAGATAATTGTAACTATTTAATATCAATTAAAAATAGAATCCTGAGAAAAGCATATAATTACATAGGATAAAAGTTTGTACTAGATTTTATTAACATTTAAATGATATTAGTTTCTATGAGATTGATAATTTAAATAACAGTCCCTAGTACGCACTTGCTTCTACTTTACATCAAAAGTTGCTGTAACATTTCAGGTATGTACAAACCTTAAATACGCAATTTCAGTTGCACAAAACAACTTTACGTTTTTTAGTTTAGATTGTTCACACAAATTTTGTGAGACTTGGTTATTTGAACTCAAGGGACCTCTAAACATGTATTTCTGTTGAAAATTCAGATTTGAAAATTTTCAAAATCGCAATACTTTCTCTTACTAAACATTACATATATCAGTAAGATAAAAAAAAAATGATCACAGAATCATATTATTAAAAATTAGTATCGCTTATATACTCTTAGTAATTAAGAGAACAACAAATCAAGTCTCTTCTGTGCCAAACAAATAAAGCGAGTACAATAATGGATTAGTAAAAGTTCAGGGATAGCTACGTGTATTATTGCTGAACTGTTAAACTGGAGAAATAGACTAGTCAAATGTGTTGAATAGACCTCTAATGCCATCCTGAAACAGCAAAAAGACATCAATAGAATATGCGCATGGGCGAATCTTAATAAGCTGACATTAAATTCGGAGAAGACAAAAGCCATCCTGATCAGATCCCCTCACTCCTCAAATCCATTTCAGCACCTCCTAATCTTCTTCTGCACAACTCACCTATCTTCTTCCATATCACCGTTAAAAATCTTGACATTACCCTAGATCAAACCCTCTCCTGGAAACCACACATCTCCCAAATTTCCCGTCGTACTATATCCACTCTGAAACAGTTTAACCATCTACGTTATCTTCTTCCGTTCAAAACCCGTCAACTCCTGGTCTTCTCTCATGTTTTCCCCCACTTCGACTATGGCTGCATGGTGTATGGTGCACTCTCGGGAGAACTCAAAGCTAAACTTAAACGTCTAATGAATCACTCAATCCGCTTTATCTTCTGGATCTCGAGGGATACACATATTACCCAGTTTTACACCGAGTTGAAGTGGCTTTATCCGTACTACCGTCGTCAATATTTCCTTGCGACCTTCCTATAACAGGCCATTAGAACACAGCGACCCGCCTATATTCTACAGATCCTTTCAATCCCGTCCCACCATATCCCGAGCGTCCGACCTCTATCCTCCTCCTCACCGAACTACTGCATTTGATAAATCCTTTTTAGTTCAAGTTGTCTCTCTCTGTTGGAACTCTATACCCCCAGTTATTCGACAACCCAAAATAAATATCCTCTTTCAAATCTCTCCTCTTCAAACACTTATTCCATTCCCAATCCGATTGATTATGAAATGCACTTAAAAACCTAAGCTGTAAGAATCTCAGAGTACACTTAGATACTCTGATTATTTTGTGATTCATTGATATTTAGTTTACTTAATTTACCTTCTGTGTTTATTTTATATTTATACACGTTTTAATATCTTTGTATTATCTATAATTTTATTGTATTCCTAATCATCCCGTAAATATTAAATTGTATTTTATGGACTCATCAGAATATTATGGACACATCAGCCGGACTTGGACCAGGGGTCCTTAAGAATAGGAGATCAGTGCCATAGCTGAGCTATCTCACTCACAATTAGAGAATAAAATCATTAATAAAATAAAAAAATCTGTCCTAAAACTGTAGTTTTGACAGCAAACTTTTAAAGTATAAGCTAACATAATAATAATTTATTAAATTAGTTCCAGACTTTATTGTAAAAGTTTTTGAATTTGAATGTTTTAAGACAAACCAGCATGCAATTAATTATTATTACTAACTTTATTAATAAAATGATGTTTATTAGCATTTAACAATTGTATTTTTATTAATAAAGAAAATTAAAATATATTTATTCATATTTTACTTATGTGATCTACTTTGGATAAATATATATATAAAATTAAATGACTTGAAAAAGTTAATTAGCTTTTGATAAAAAGTTCTAATTGTTTTGATTAATTATATCATAAATAAATAATAATTTAAGGAAATGAGAGAGATATATTAAAAAGTTAATTTCATTTTCATATTAATTTTAAAGAATGAAAAGAAAATATAAAAAAAATTTATACTTGGAATCAGTAATAATAATATAAACAGATAGTGGATGATGTCACCTTATCAATGGTAAGTTATGACTAATAGCTTAACGATCAAGCCAAGGTAAGAACAGATCAAACAATATTGAAGGTAAAGAAAGAAATATCATTTACATGCATTAAAGATCAAAATAATCAAATTTATAGAAATTATAAATAATAACTTAATTCAATAGAATAAAATAATTTATTTCTTAACTACCTACACAAGTTAAAAAAAAAAAAAAAGAAATGGCACTAAGTTATTACAAAAACAAGTGAGGGTGTATTCACAAAAAACATGCCCTCAGCAGACAGGTTTGAACAAGTCCAAACCTTCATCAACAGGGAGAAAAAAATCAGAACTTTAAATCAGTTTACAAACATTACAAATAGCAATTGTTTGGACAAATATTTAAAATCAATACGAATGAAAATTAAGAAATAAGACACAGATAATACAAAACAATGCAGACAAGATTTAAACATGTCAAAAACATCATGAACAACACCAAAAAAATCTATAGTTGTATAGATTTCAGCTATTAAGCTAGATCGAATACTAACAATTTAATACACATAAATAAATGAAAGGAGAAAAATGATAAATTAATAAATCGGTAAGATACTAAGTGACCCATAATCATTAATTAGCTGAACTCCATTCATATTTATTTTTAATGACAAATAAACAATCACATATTTATCATTGAAGCAAAAAAATAATTTCTTTAATGAGATAACATTCACTACTTTTTTTATTGAATTTCTAAAATAAATTTAATGCAATTTAAAAAAAAAGAAAAGATAAACGAGAGTTCATTGATTCATGTTTTCTACATTCCATGTACATCCAGGGAATATCAGAAGAATGGTCAGAAACTTCAATGACCTAAAGAAAGGGCAGATGCCCCAGGATGTTTGCAAGGTCATCAAGGCAATATATAATGACCTCAATCTATGATATTTTCTCATTCATACTAAAATATACATATATTCGCTTTTCATTCACAACATTAACTGGTGTATATCAACATGGAGTTCAATAACCCCTATTCAGAAAAGCAATTAATTTGATATCCTGAAAAGTATTTGACTCAAGTTCTGTTGGTAGGTAATACAACTTTAAATTTAAATGATTTTGTTGACAATTTAGAATATTAATCACAAATTGGATACTGTAAAAAACTGGTACAAGTTTCCTAAGATGAAATAATTTTTGTATTGAATTTTGAGATGTCAAAGCATAGAACTGTTATTAGTCGATGATTACTTGTCATAAAGATAACTACAATTCAATACTCACCTTCTTTATTGAAGAAATGATTTAAAAACTCACTTAAACAATGACACACTTACTATATTTCTTAGATGTTCTATTCCTTCCAGTATTATCTCTTGATGTCCAATTTTATGCACACCTAAGTGTTCTAAATCATTAGGTCCGAAGCTCAAAAGCTGCTGCCCATCAACCAAATTGTTAAGGAAGGCATGCATGTATGTGAGTAAACAGGAATCGAGTCCTTCAATCAAAACAATAACAAATAATATGTTAATGACAACTTTTGTTTGGCACTGATGTAAATAAAAACATAGAACAATAAACCACAAAGTGACAAGAGTCGGTTGTTGTTAGGCATCCCTTTACACAATTATTTCTAATGTATTTATATAATATTTAGATAATTATCTACCCTTTAGCCATTCTGTAACTTGATCAGGTTTCCACTCGGCCACGTTAACGTAGGCCATTTTGGCTACGACTGGAGCCTATCTTTCAGCCTCTTTAGTTCGAATCTCGACCTTCGCGCTAGTGTTGGATTCCATTATCAGAATAGACAACAATTAAAACGATTTATTAACTTATAAGTTAAATAATCATAAAAATATGTTTTCAATTATAAAAATTATCAGTTGTAAATACAAATTATCTAAACTTCAAACTGTTAAATGTTAAAAACAATTTTCAATATGTTGCTCTCGCTTTAATACCATTCTTTCTCAATAGATGGAGTTAAAGTCGACAGTTCATTCATAACAAGAAAGGCATTGAAAGCCGGAGTTGTAAAATTTAAAAACAGTTCATTCATATTTTGCCTTTGATGAAAAAAGAAGCTACAGTTGGAATTGAAGCATTTTTATTATATTGAAAATATTGCGAGCACATACCTTTAAGTTAAGAAGAATGTTGGGTGTGCCCCTCTGAAGACGGCAATAAGATTAAATTGAGGAATGCCTTGGAAGATAGTGTCAACCAAGGAAATGATAAACGCCCCCTCTCAGATAAACTACCCATATATAAATATAATTATTTTCTTATCTCGATGAAAGATTCATGCGAGTTAATTTCTTCAATTAAGTAAAATATCTTGATTTAAATAATACTATATATACAGTTGCCAGCAAAATCTTCGCTCATTGGCTGAAAATAAAAAAAATCAATAAAAACAATCCTTCACGACATTTTTTTTTTTTAAATTCCAACGTAAATGTATAACTTTAACACAACTATTATTAATTTTTATCAAAAATATTTGGCTAACAATACATCAGACTTGGGCGAAAAGTATTTTAAAATATAAAGTATTTTGTTTTTCTTAGATACCATTTTAATCACCTAGTATTTCAATTACTACTTCCTTTTAAATTTCTTCACTCAACAATTTAATTTAATATATACTAGCTGATGTACCCATCGTTGACGGGTGTATAGTTAAAATTTGAGGGTTTTTTTTTTGAGATGGATATTGTATTATGGGGGAGGGGGTTAATTTCATAATATTGGGTGAAGTGGGAGAGGTAATTTTAAGTAATTTTAATTTTGAGAAGTTTTTCTTCCGATTTCTGGCTAATCCGTTTGGTTAATCCTAAAAATGCATACGACAACATTTGTTAGGCTCGAGAAGTTGGATAGAATGACACTTTGAACCGGAAGATCGAACAAAATTGAAAAATGAGTGTATTTTAAGCGACAACGCGTTAGAGATGTTTGGTATTTCGGATTTTTCCCGTTGAGTTGTGATAATTTTTTCCATAAGTTGAATAGTACAACTGTTAAATGTGTCTCGCGGTAGAGTAGGTTGGGATGAGAATCGAAGTAACTGCCTAACCGGGATCTCTAAACAAATTACCCAAGAATTCATAAGTCTGGTTCTATTCAATATTTTGTTTTTATTTAAAACCTATGTTTTTTGTCAAGTAAACCTTAATATAATGTCAAAATTTCAAAAGTCTACAATAATCCATTTCTGAACTTACTCCTGACAAAATTTCGTTGCAATGCGGACATACAGACAGACAAAAAAATGTATTAAAAGTGGATTTGGTATCTGTAATGTATGTAATGTATGAAACAGGTTGATTCAATTCAATGTACAGACAAAACCTTTATTTTATTTATATAGATGTTCTTTAACCTATAGACGTATGTTTATTATTAACATTTATTATCAACATTAACCGAGATCTCTAGACAAATCACTCAAGAATTCGTAACTTTGGTTCTACTCAATATTTTGTTTTCATTTAAAGCCTATGTTTTAAGTCAAATAAACCTTAATATAATGTCAAAATTGCAAAAGTCTGCAATAAGCGATTGTTTAGCTTACCCCTGACAAAATTTCGTTGCAATGCAGACATACAGACAGACAAAAAATTTTTTTAAAGTGGATTTGGTGTCTGCAATGTATGAAACGGAAAGATGTCATAAAACGGGTTGATTCTATTCAATGTACAGACAAAATCTTTATTTTATTTATATAGATAAAATAAAGTTTCGAATATAAAATATGAATTTTAATGCAGTAAAACTTTTCATACATATTCATATTATATAGTAATTTATGTATTTATTTTAATAAAAGAATGAAATCCTTTATATTTTAGTACTATTTAAGTCAATCGGTCATTAATAGGGGCCAACTTCGAAGTCAATTGGGAGGGCATTTTTCTCTATTCTTCAAACAATTTAGTTTTAACATATTATACTTATGTTATATTGGGAGGGCATTTTTCTCTATTCTTCAAACAATTTAGTTTTAACATATTATACTTATGTTATATTTTAATTTTTGAACTGTGTATAGACACAAACTCATAAGAGTTTGATAGAATTTAAATATGAACTCTGGAGAGCAGTTTCCTGTTCATTTAGATAATTATATAGAAGCCATTTCCGTTTTTGAAGAGCTTGTGGCTAAGGGTTATATTTAAATGGGTTGAATTTAAATGTTTATTCCATGCCCATTTTTTCCATAACTGTTAACGAAAATAACAGCAGGGATACATGATAAGAACAACAAGGAATGATTAGGAAACAAGCCAGACCAGACACGATTCGGATAATATTTAAAAAAAAATCTGGTGCGTGCAACACACAACTTTCACTTACCGCTCTACTTTGAATAGAAATTATTTTCTGGCAATGCTGGGCTATTATAAAATTTTTTGAAGTGCATTTTAAACGGAGCTAAAGCTTAAAGCTTACAGATAACAAGTCATTAAGACCATTATAATTACAAAATGTCTATTTAATATATCGACGGTAGGCAATAAAAATCTAGTCACTCCATCTGCTTTTATAAACCACACAACTTTCTTTGCTTTTATAAACCACAGAATGACTAACTCCAATTTCAACATTTTTGAGTAATGTTAATTTAGTGATATTTTTAGTTGAAAAAGTTATTTATGCAGACAGTGAGTAAGTTGATTCCGGAGGTGGTGATTGCAGTGTTGAAATATAGAACTGAGAATAAAGGTATAAATTTTGGTACTTATTTCTTATGAAAGATGTTCTGAGGTAAGATACTTTATATCGATTTAAATATCTGCAGAAAAAAAAGTTTTTTTTAGTCTTAACAATTAATAAAGTATATTTTAAATTTATACAAATTTATGCCTCTTCAAGGGGAAAAAACTAGAGACCATATCTTTGATCCTAATTGTCCGATTTAAACGCATTTTTTTTTTTTTTTAGGAAATAAAAAATGCATATACAATATCCACAAAAAAGTGTATACTTTTTGAGTTATTGGGAATATAATTTTACCATCCCTCGTAACTTTTTTCCAGATTCTTTTCGTTGAAGTATGTTATATAAATAAATTTAAAGGGTATCGAGAAAATGACTTTAGCGAAGTTTCATTGAAATCGGTACATTCGTTTAGGCTCTACAATCTATAGCCACGCAGGTTTTTCTGCATTATTATTTTTTTTCTCCTTTATTAACTTATCAAATTCTTTCAAAAGTTATATGTAGCATTTTTTCGTAACTCTGAATAACATTTTAAAATAAACCATATTAAACGTACTTTAGAGAAAGACATATATGAACATTGGGTATTTAAGCCCTGTAAAGTGACATCAACGGGGATAAGACCTAAATGATATTAAATACCACTTAATTATACAATGATACACCGAGTTTAATCAAAATTGTTAGAGCCGTTTTTGAGAAAATTGTAAAAATGTGTTTCAGCGTGCATATAAAGTGGCACTTCCAGTTAGCCGATTTTAACGAAAAAGTTACTGTCACATCCGGCTCATATACAAACCTTAAATACTTAATATCAGTTTCGTATGACTTTTTGTTTATGAGCTAGACTGGACTCAAGGTACTTCAAAACATGTATTTCCGTTGAAAACTGAGATTCGAAAATTTTCACGATCGCAATACTTACCCTTACTATACATTACATATTTACGTAAGTGAAAAAAAAAACAACTAAAAAATAAAAAATAAAAAAACAAATGTCATTTGATGTACTAGCGGATCCAGGATTTCATTTTTGGCGAGGGGATTCAGCCCGACAGATTTTTTTAAAATTTGTAACGTTAATTACTTTGGACGAAAAAGAAAGAAACTAACTACCTATACGAGATGGTGTTTAAATGATTTTTAAATTCCTATTAAATGTGATAAATAACACTTTTTAAATATTTTTTTTTGATAAGACATGGTAATATTTTACTGTTTTAGGAAGAGAGGGCTTCAGCCCTAAAGCTCCATCTGTCGAAGTCTGTGTAATCTTTTTACAAAATATGTCACATTTTATCTATATAAATAAAATAAAGATTTTGTGTGTACATTAAATAGAATCAATCCGTTTTATGACATCTTTCCATTTCATACATTGCGGAAGCTAAATCCACTTTTAAAAATTAGTTTGTCTGTCTGCACTAGCGGATCCAGGATTTAATTTTGGGAAGGGGGCTTCAGCCCGAAAGCTTTTTTTTCATAAAAGTAACGATATTTACTTTGGAAAATACGAAAGAAACTAAGTACCTATAATTGAACTGGTGTTTAAGTGATTCTTAAAGCCCTTTTAAATGTAATTACACGAATAATTATACTTTAAGAGATAATTTTTTAGTATCTTTTCCGATAAAACATGGTTATATTTTACCATTTGGGGGGGGGAGGGCTTCAGGCCGAAAGCCACCCTCCCCCCCCCCGTAGATCCGCCCGTGTCTGTCTGTATGCCCGGATTGCAACGAAATTTCGTCAGGGATAAGCTCAGCAATGGCTTATTGTAGACTTTTGAATTTTTGACATTATATTAAGGTTTGCTTGACTCAAAACATAGTCTTTAAATGAAAACAAAATATTGAGTAGAACCAAAGTTATGAATTCTTGAGTAATTTGTCTAAAGATCTCGGTCAATGTTTATAATAAATGTTAACAATAAACATATGTTTATAGGATAAAGAACATCTATATAAATAAAACAAAGGTTTTGTCTGTACATTGAATAGA